CGCTGTCTGGCATCAAATGTCTTTATCTTTACGCCGCTTAAAGTCAAATACAGCCACTCAGAGAGTCAACAAACGTGTTTAGCAAACACCAACACACAGATTCGGGAATATCAGCCAAACAGCGGCGAATGTAAATGCCGTAATGGAGATTGTGTTTGGGAAATACTCGCGCTGCGTCAACAGTATTTATTTTATTGACATTCCCACCGCCACCACCACCGCCCTTCGTCGCAATGAAAACAGACAGACAATGAAAAGCTATTTTCTGTTTTTCGGCGACAAACCAACCGACCTGACAAAGTCAAAAGATCTGGGGCAATCAAGAGACGGGGTTTTCCCGGCGAAAATGAGCGCGTAAAAGTTTATGAGCCGGCCATCATCATCATCGTGATCCTGGCGCAAGGAGCATTCAAGTGATTTGCCTGTATTTTGGGCCATCAAAAGTTTTCAACTTGCATTAGAGAAAACTTGAAAACCCAGCAGAGAGCATCTCCCCGGTGACCATGGCCAAAAACCGAGACCGGGTCCAAAGAGATTAAAACAAAACGAATGCCGCTCAAACGGCGGCCAACTTGTCAAAGTCAATGGCAGGCAGCTTGGAGTTTGAGGACTAAATAATACAATAAGTGTGCCGCTTCTGCTGGACGAATGATAGCCTCCCAGGCTTCCAGGCTCCCAGGACATTTGTGTGGTGCAGGCCAGGAATCGGAAATGAATGGCATTTGTTTTGGCCAACCTCCTGGGAAACGTGGGCCCAGCTCTCGACCATTTTCCCCCTCACAGAAGAAATACAATTTGCTGGTCTAATCAATGCTCAAGCACTCAAGACAACCAAATAGGATTAAAATAAATGCGTTGAGACGCTTGAAAATTATCCTTCTTAGCTAATTAAGTATGAAATATATATACATATAATATTTCTGGGGATGAATTTATTTTCATTTAAGAGTATTGTGAATATTTAACAATAACTAATGGTCCAACTTACTTGATTTTTGATATGCGTTAATGAAAAAATATGTTAACAATTATTAATCCTTTTTGCATTCGTTTACATATATGAATTTATACATATAACATACGTTTTGATAATAAAACGTACAATAAAGATTAAAACTAAATATTATTATATTAAGCTATAGTTAAATTTGTCATAATGTTTTTGTTATAAGTCTATATTACCAGTTTTGTTTTTTGAATTGCTAGCTTAAGAAATAAAATAACAAAAAAAAGTTCAAAAAATTGTTTTAAGAAAATAAATTTAAAAAAGTCATAAAGTGAAATTGAAGATTGCAAAAATAAATTCGATAAAAACACACCTAAAAGTTATTTTCGCAAACCAGATTTTGTCGCCTGCAGTCTTTTTCGACCAGGATATTTTCCTAAACCCACCTCAACCTTAACCTCGATCCTTTTGTGGGTGTTCACATCTGGCTTATGTATATATCATGCAATATCCTGTTGAATATTTAAATTTGTGTAGACAATTTCCGTAGCGAGTGCCTTTGACAATGGAATCATTAAGACAAGATAAACCGAAATTCCGGGGCCATCATTCCAAGTTAACCAAACTAACGATAATAATGCCTGAGTGAACTTGGTCCAAAGGTTGTTGGCTCCGACCAAGACCAAGGAGCTAGGACCGATTGGACTGCATTTCATTTTGGCCCCGTAATTGCGGCTTCAGTTCAGTTGAACATAATTTATCAGGCAACAGGCAGTCAGTCGTCGTCAGACACACGCCGCAACAAATTGACAATTAAATAGACTGAGGAGCGAGTGCCGAGCGGCGTGGCGAGAAAACTTGATTAAAATTTGCCAGGGTGACGGGGCAACGAAGTCCGAGGGTTCAGGGGTTCGGGGTTCGAGGGGTTGGGTTTCCGGGCCAGTCACGTGCGTCAGAGGCAGCTGTTGCACACTGTGGTCATCCCTTTCAGCCACCACCACGCTGCCCCTCGAATAGCAGCCAATATATGGCACTCCCGACTTGGCCACGTACGTGACCAACTGCAAAGCTGTCAAAAGTTGTGAAAATTAAAAAATAAAGTCGAACAAATATGCGACCAAGACACAAGAAGCTGCAGCGGAAAAAACCAATGTATGCGGTGTCCAGTCAAAGGACGATGTCTTCGTAGCCGTAAGTCCTTAAATAGTTCTGAGTAAAGTTTTCAACTATTGATTGGATGATAATGACACTCTTTGACACTCAATCAATAATATGATATAATGTCCTCATATAAAGACTTAGTTACACTATGCAAATAGCAATGCCTGAAAATTTTTTGCTCAATTTTTTATGTGTGTTCAGTTACAGCTTTAAAAACCAGTGAATTTTTGTTTTATTTAGCCAGCAAACTATGTTTGACTGGCTCAATGATATATTTTCAGTTTAAGCTGAAAAAAGGATACAATTAATCTGTTCTGAAAGTGAAGGCTAATAACAAAAGCCAAATACGATTCATAAAGTTGTCACTCATTTCCACTATCCACACTTTCCTCTTAAATAGTGCTTGCCTGACAGTTTTCCTGACCACAAAGTCCATGGAAAAACTTAAATGATGTTATTGCCCTAGCCTGTGCAAAAACATAAAAATAAAAGTGGACAGCAGGGTTTCAACGCGCTTGTTGTCACAGCAGCCACATCAATGGGTCCCCACACAATGCAACATTTTTAGAAATGCCAAAAACAGAGCCACACACTCAGACGCACTCGATGTTTCCAAACCCCCATCCTCTGGTGTCATACAGCCATCAAAGTCAGTTCGCGAACAATGTACGATGTAATTTTTATGCAACAAACACAAATTTCTCTGGGGTGCACTATGTAAAACTGACAGATGACTCTGCTCCCTGCAACCCCGATTCAGTTCGCAAAAAAAAACCAAACACAAAGAAAACATATAGAAAGTGGGAAGCAGAGCTGTATGTAAATCTCCGATGCATCAACTATAAGAGTGTGGAGCTGGTAGACCAAAAATTGTAAGCTGTAATTTGTGGCTAAAACTGTTTATTGCACAAAAAAATGAAAAAAAAATGGACTGAAAACTTGCTTTGAAAAGTTGAACTCTAACTAGAATTTGAAAGGAAGGGGAAGTTGTGATTTTATAATGATTTTTGTTGCCGATGAACTTTGACAACTTTGAATTGTCTGGGGCTTAAAGAGAGCCAACATGATGGATATGTTCATATCAACATAAAATAACTGAAATGCCTTTTATTTAAAAAAGATTGTAGTTAAATATAATATAAACTCTTTATTATCAAATCAATCAACTTTAAAAAGGTAGCCATTTACAACCCAGATTATCTTAAACCTTCACATATCTTGTGTTACATTTTAATATGGGTATTTAATTATACCGTTTTGCACAACTTTATCCAAGTCAAACTCATTAACGCCCTCCTACTTTTTATCCATTTTCACTCGGAAAGTTGTACACATGTAGAAAATCTCAGGCAAAAAGGAAGACCTTTACACAGATTTTACCCAGCCCGCACAGAATGTAAGCCGAAAGAACTTCAACCAAAGATTTCTATCCGCCTGCCCAAACTTCCTGCCGCAATCCCCCGCAATCCAGCACTTCATTCAGAGCCTGGGCAAAGCTAACCAAAGTGTTGCACTTACTGCATTTAAATGAAATTAAACATATTTCCTGCAGCGACAAAGCCAGAATTAATTTGTTGAATGCGTTCTCAGAAGGGCCAGGGGCGTAGTCAACGGGGGCTCCGCGTATTTGTAAGATGAAAGTTTTGCGCTCCAAGCTTATCTTAAGTGTGCTCCACGCTTTTGCACTCAACTATTTTTGCGATGTGGATGAGAGGCTGCCTGTAGGCAAAACTTTGCCGACAAATGTGGTTTCCGGTTCTGTCTCGCTCGCTTCGAATTTCCCTCCCCATCTGCCTTTCACCCTACTTATAAATATATATGTGTATATAATATATATGTGGCTGCAAGTGGCGTCTGAATCTTCGTCTCGCCATGGCATAATTTTCGCGCTTTTGTGCGCATAATTTAAATGACTTTTGAAAAGTTTCTCGAGTGGCGCAAAGCAGGCATTTCAGATAAGAGTGCAAGGTGTCTCCGGCCCGGTTTTGTCCTCACCGGAGTCCCCGACCCCCCGTCGACAAGCCCTGTAATTATGATAATGTTAGTGTGCCCAAGTGGTTACCCCTCGAAATGTGTGAGGAACTTTGGGAATGCTACAGAAATATTGCGTATACGCAGTGGGCTTGCTACCGAAACGTTTTGTCGGCCTCAGTGTTGTCATGTATATTGTTTTTCCTTCTTCTCAACTTACTTTGGAGTAGCTAATATTTATTTATTAGAAAAAATATGCTCCTTACGCTACTTCAGTTATTATTTGTATATTTAGGCTAGCATAGTATAGCATAGTATTCTAGCAAAAGTTCTACCTTTCGCATCACTATTAATCCCGTTCTCCTTTGATAAAGTTACTTTGCAGTTGATGGGGAGTTCAGGAGGTGCGTGTCGAGGCTAATTGCTGAACGTCAACGCTCAAGCGGCTGAAATCTATGCAAATAACATTAAATTATTAAACATTTTTCTTGCGCGGGGTCCAGAGAGTGTTTAGCATATTTTGTGCTAAATTTGTTTGCGTGACTCAAACAATTAGTAGACGCACACTGAGGTTTTTGCGGTCCGCCTTCTCTGCACTGCACAAAAAAGTATGCAAAAAACTGCTGATAGGAAATTATTTTCTCGCCCAAATGGTGACATTTATCCATATTATTGGCAGTGCATATGTGTGTGTGATTTAGCTGTTGATGTAAATAAACCCGCTCATTAACGTTGTTTTTTCGGGCGGTGAGGATTGCCAAAACCAACCATCGAATGTCAAACCCCGAAAAACAGGAAATTTGCATAAACGCCAAGCCAAAACCAAAGCCAACAACATTGGGCAATCCCCCATATAATTGAGAGCTAGAATTAAATGCAAATGGTTTAATGAAACAACAGTTATTTATGTTCATTTGATTTGTTTGTTTTTTTCTTTCGGTTCTCTTTTTTTGGTATCAATCCACCTAAAGTTTTATTGTTTAATTATTATCGCATAATAATATAACTGCTTACAATTTAATTTTATTAATCTTAATCGTAGATTAATTTAATTTACCTTAATTTCTTTTTTGCTTTTTTACAATATTTTAGCGTTGAAAACTCAGCTCAGCTTTTTTGTTGCAGAATTAATTGCCTCTTGAATTGAAAAGGAACTGGTCCGCTAATTTGTAAAAAGTTATTTGAGATTAAAATAAATCATTTAATATATTTTTTTTTTGCAATTTACAAATAACAAATTTTGATTTCAAATTCAAAAATTTCACATAATAATAAAATAAATAATTACCAATAATTTATAACCCAGAAATATATTTTTGTCTGCATTTTTATTTGCTTTTATTTACTTTACACAATGCCAACTTGTTTATAGGAAAACACATCCGTTCTTCTTATTTGCACAAAAGCTTTAAACATTTTACATATTATTTATTTGATGTTCAGCTATTTTTTTAGATACAGGCAACAAACAATGTATTTACTTCGTAAGGACTACATATATAATTTTATAAATATTTTTTGTTTCGCCAGTTATGTTTGTTCTATTTTCCGAACTTTACATAATTTTTTTCTTTGGTAATGTAGACTATTTGCCAGAGTTTTAGACTATTACATGTACTTCTGATTATTTACTGGATGATTTTTTAATTATTGTTTTATGAAGTGAGTGTTTGATGCTTTAATTATACCTTCTTATATTTACATGTAGCTAACCCCCAACATTTATTTACATCTGTATGTGTTTACATCAAAAATGTTATGACCTCAATTAAAAAGGTTTATTTACAATAATAACTGAAACTTTAATTAGTGCAATTTACTAATTAAAACGAAATGTGCGGTTGAGTTTTGTAAACATTTGACGAACAATTCATTGAAGCCCCAAATGAACACTGAAAACAGCGTGAACATATAGTTCATTATTCAGGCAATTTAAATAAATTATAAATGCATAAATATTGATCAATTTTACGACCGAGGAAAATCTACGACTCCCCAAAGAATGTCATATATCCTTGGCCTGTCGTCTTTTCAGCTGCATTTATAATGCTTAATTAGCTGCATTGTTCGAGTTAACTGCACTGGCGAACCTATTTTCCGGTTCCCTTCGTCTGCGGGGGAAATTAAATAAAATACATTAATTTTGTTATTGTCAGGACGTCGACACATCCAGGGCACAATGTTGATTATCAATATTTTCAACGCTGAATGTGCTTTTCTCCTTTTGGCATTAACAATGTTAATAAGCGAGAGAGAGAGAACGAGAAAGAGGATGGATCTGTTGGCCAGGCCATTTCGCATGCGGTTTTCCATCCTTCATTATGTTTATGTCAATGCAAACTTTATGCAACACAAGTTGAATTATTAAAATCGTGCAACGACGGCGCTTGGGCATAAATACAGTAAATTGGCAGGCCTTTAACCTGCAACCCCCATCTGCGCCTCGCTCCTTGTTTATACATATACATGAATGTGTACATATACATGAACCTGTATGCAAATGGGCTATATATCTTATGGCCTTAATGTCATTTTTCTTTGCCCCGTCGATATCGCCGCTGTCTGTCTCTGGATCCGATCCGATCCTTCTCACTCACTCCTTGCAGGCGAGCAACGGGCAGCGGGCATGAGTTATGGCCAATAAATTGGACATGTTAACTGTGTGTCAGAGTGCGGGGCCAGGAGACCGCAGGCCACGCAATTTTATGCTGAAATTAATTGCAAGTATTTCGCACGGAGGGAGAGAGCGTGACAGAAAGAGGTGGAGCGTGGAGCAGACAGGACACATGGCAACGGGTCGTATGAGTAATAATATAATTAGCATGCACATTTATTAAAAAGTGATGGAAGTGCACAAAAGCCGATGACGATGACGATGATGACGAGCAGGCCGAAAGCCAGGAAGCGGAATCAAGGCATTGCAAATTATTATTGCATTTTTTTCTACCATAGCGCGCGGCAGCAACGAAATTGTTAAAATGAATGACGTTTTCAAGGCGTTTAAATGTCACGAAAATTCAGAACCATCGGTGGGCGGAGCGGGGGCGTGGCTGCCTTGACATCCCGTCGACTTTTTCTTTCATTAAATAAATTGATTTTTTTGTTGCCGTTCGAAAAGGGGTTGATAATATTGTCCTTGGTTGAATGAGAAAATCCGCTCTTGATAAAACATTTTTTAATTGCTGGCAAAAGTTTAATATTTTTAATTGAGGTGTCATTCGTTAAACTTAAATTAAAAACACAAGTAATAAAACAAAATGTGGAATATTAAATATCATCTCATTTTTCGGTAAAAAATTTATAGATATGAACTTGAGATATGTTGAAAATAAAAGCAATTATTTAACTTTTAAATCTTGATATGATGATGTTTGCTTTTTCTCTGCGATCTTTTAAAATAAACATTAAGGTAAATAAAGTATTTATAGAACTATTCGCGCTCTAGAAAGGCTTTGCTTTAAAGCAATTTATAATAACCAATTTACTCATATGCATAAACCTATTTCTTTCAATGCAACCTTAAATTTAAGTTTAAGTTAATATATTTTACAATTTATACTTCACCCGATTTTGTAGGTTTGATGTAATGGCTTATTTTAAGCTTACAGTTTATAAATACTATACATACAATGAGCATTTTATTGTGTTGCAAAATACTTAATCTCCTTTAGTTTTCGATTTTATAATTATACAAATTCCTATAGCTTTGAAGTGAGCCAAGTTTGAAGCATTTTCGTAGTTTACCTTTATTATTGTTTGTTTTGATATACTTTCAGCTATGAAATATGTAGATGTACCTAATCTAACCCCCGTTTTCTAGATCCCCTTTGGCTGCATTTTCGAAATGCTTATTGAGTAACTCAAGCGACTTATTGATTTCAAAGCAGAGTCAGATAGATTCCGGAGCCCAACAGCAGTACTCTATGGAGCAGCAGGCCAGCTGGAGAAGGTATGATTTACATGGGGATTGCACTGAGGTCTGTGGTCTTTGCACACTTACCCACTGACGATGCGTACTCATTCGGTGGTCGTTCTGTGTAGAACATGCTCTTTCCTATCGCCAGGGATCCCTTGGAACCCACAGAGGATAGACTGTTTCCCGCCGCTCCTCCCGGCAATGCAGAGGTTTGCATTGAGGTCGAAGACGAGGAGGCCGCCGAGGAACTTGCCCCCGAAGATGACGAGGAGGCCGATCCAGGATATAAATCGTTCTTTATGGCATATCCCACATCCGTTTGCATGGATTTCGTTGTGTCGTTGCGTGACGAGGGTATGATATTGTCTGCGGATTAAAAGTTGGAAAGCACATTTTAAAAGGCGAGTATACAGTAGTCACTCTATTAGTTTTGACTTCCTGCAACCGAGCATTTATATCATCTCCTGTTTGTTACTATTGAACTTAAAGGAAAAGTACTTTATTTACATATAATTGAGAAACTTAAATATATTTTTAGTTGGTATTGTTGCTATCTTTTTCACGTCAGCTTGCTGAAAGGCACATGTTTTTATTTGGGTTATTAAAAAACTTTATTTCAACACATGTTAAAACTATGTTCCGAGCGAAACTTTGAAAAAACTTAACTCTGTTCTTGTCTTTGAAAATTAGTCTTAGAAAAGTTTAAGTTGTTGGAAATCGACAGAAAGTTCACTCGTTTGCCGACCGCTGTTTGTTTGTTTATTTGTGGGTCACTATTGACTAGCAGAAGTTGCGGACTCTTAAACAAAACTTAACCCCAGCCCGACATGGTTTTCAAGTTAAATTGCGTGGAAATCTTGGCTACGATACAAAAAATTTATTTCGCCCCGCTAGCTCGCACACATGTGCAGTGTCACACACACACACACACACACACACACTAACAATAACATCCTTTGTTGGCTGACTCCTGGATTAGGTTCCGTTGCATTGCTCGCGCGCTGCTTTGCCAGTCACTTTAAATAAAATATGTTTGGTCTTTTGCTCTGCTCCGCTCTGCTCTCCAACTCTCGGGCTCAAAGTCTGCGGCAGTGTTTCAAATGTGTTTCCAACCTAATGCCCCCGAAAATCCTCCTCCTCGGCTCCAGCATAATCCCCAGCATATTGCTTTGCCCAGAGCCAGGACACGGACATGGGAACGGGAAAAGGACACGGCCACAAACCCGGACGGAGACTGGAAAGTGTGTGTACTTTTCTGCTTGACTTGAATTTCAACAGGAGCCGGCGAAAAGGACACGGAGAAAAGGCTGCCAATGTTTTTTTTTTTTTAGTTTCAGTTTTTTTGAGCCAGTTTAGTTTCTATATGCGTGAAAATATATTAAATACATTTTCTTATACAAAACCGTAGAATATAATTTCAAAATGCTAATAAGCATTTGTTTTTTATTAGTTAGTTTAAAATTTAAAACCGTCTGAGTTTTAAACTTCAAGCAATTTTTAACCGTATGGACTCTTTATTTAGTTTTTACAACTCTGAATTTTTAATATATTTATTCTTAAGATTTTAAAGAAAATGGGTTTTTAAACAAAAAGGATATGTAGAAATGCAATGAAGTTTTCTTCGACTGTGAGTGGCGATGAAGGGCAGCGAAAACCCCGTCGCTGAAATAGTCAAAAGTGCTTTACTTTATCTCTCGGTGGGCGTGTCCCCCTCCCCAGGTTACCCTCCCCTCCTACCTCCCCCCTTTCAGTGCCACCCTGTTGGTGGATCTGTCTGGCTTAGCTGCTACTTTCGCAGTTTTGTTTGTGGCTCGCCGTATCCTGTATCCTTCCCTTTGTGACTGTGCTTGTGAGTGTGTTGGGTGTGTGCTTGGTGTGACTTTCACGCTCAACGCTGAATGTGTTAAGCGCAAATACGGAGCATTCCGCACATTTTCCCAGCTTTTCCCCGACTCCGACTGATACTATACTTACTCTCCCTGGATTCCACGGTGGTGTGGGTGACCTGCTTGGATGGTGTGGATGGCAAAGGTATTTCTGCAAATGGAATTGAATAACATTGCATAATTAATAATTAGAAAGCCGTATAGCAACAGCCACCGCAAAGACGGCCAACGGAAAATATATGAAATTATACTAAATGGTTTTTCATTACATTATGTCGGTAGAATTTATGTCGGTTGCTGCTCATTGGTTTACTGTGTCAAGAGTGTGGTTTCTCTAGTTGTAAGGTCAAACGCACACTTTCTGAGTTTCAGATGAAGTTGCTTCTCGACTCAAAGTGTGCATAAATTAAACAAATTTTACTTTTAACTAAAAGCCTTGTGGGTTTCCGACTCAAACGCAATTAAGATTTAAGTTCAACTCAGTGAAGTCTTAGTAATGACTGGAAAACAACTTCTAAATTCAATTTAACTTTGAACTTAATAGTTATCCCAAAGTAATTGCTACAAATGACTTCTCTTATTTATTTTGTTAATATTAAAACTTTGCACCTTTGAAATCGGTTCTTACTTAACTTACACAAAAACTCAAAATACAACAACGAATAAGCCAAGTTCAAACGTATGTTTGCGATAACCTTTGCCAATGTACATATTTAGCATTTGCCATGTGCACAAGCTGAACGGCAACTTGTAAACAGGGAAGAAAAAAACCCGAAAACAGCCAAAGTGCATAAAAAATAAATAAATAAATGCAGGCAATACATATATATGTACACATGAACCCGGCTTGTATGGCATACTCGTATATGTTGGAGGCGACTCCTTGGGCAAGCAAACGATACAAAGTCAAACAATTCCGAAATTCACCTTTATTTTCCGTTTACGTTTATGGTGAATGTGTCTCCGTGTTGCCACGGGGTATGATGATACTATACTCAATGGGCTGGTGGGTCGGATAAAACGGGTATGTACGGGTGGTACGGGGAGCACTAGAATGGGGGGCAGATAGGACCCGCCACCAGCCAAGAGCCACCGCTCGTTTAGTTTTACGCTCCGGAGGACAGCGTATAGTGCACATATAGAGGGTCGTGAGGATTCCGGGTCTATAGGTAAAAGCTTTTGGCAAAATTGTGCCACAAAGGGCTCACGATATTGCATTGCTCGGGGTGAGTGCTAGTGTGTGTGTGTGTGTGTGCTTGTGTGTTTGCCGTAACTAGTGCACTTAAATTACCAATACAAATGCTCTTACCGTAAACACGTATGGAGCCTTCCGTTTCCCCCAGCGAGTTCTTCGAGATGCATCGATAGTTGCCGAAGTCACCATATTGTAGGTTTCTTATCGTCAGCTTCATGTGGGCACTGCAAAAAGGATACATTGGGCTTAAGGATACATCCATGGAGGCGTTTTCCGCTCGCCAGCTTATCTCTTTTTGAGTTCGAGGGCGAAAACATTTGCACTTGCACCTGACCCCCAAAAGGCAAGTGCAAATGCACGATAAATATTTAACAACACAATTTTCGATGTTGTAGTTTATTTTTATACTCTCTATTCTGTTTTTGTTTCAAACTTGACTTACCGATAGGAGTTCTCCGTGTAGTCGGTTTTATACTTCTTGCTAGGCAATACCATCACCGAGTTGTATACCCAATAGATGATCGCCCTGCGGGGAAAAAAAAACATTTCAGCAGTTAAAATGAAATCGAATGTAAACGAGTATGTGATTCAAACACACACACAGACAGGCGGAAAGAAGAAAACTAATCAAATTCTCAAATGAATGTAAATATTTTAACAAAATCAAAGAGAAATCGGATGAGCAAAATTCAACAGAGTCACAGAGGCCAGTTGAAATATTCACGGATACATACAACTAACTGCAATCACGTGCAATTCAAAATTTGTGAAAAGCCAATAAAAATAAAATTCGGTAAGCTGGGACTTTAAACGTGAATACACTTCTACAAATTATAGGTTTCCAAAAAACAATATTTTTATAAACTGAATAGATAGGATGTTTAAAGAATATAACTTTTTTATGGGTTTCAATTTTTTAGTTTTTAAAAACATAAAAAGGAAAATATATTGTTCCAATCTTTACTAATTTAGATTTCATGAGGATTTTATATTATTATTTTCCAAGTAGGCAAAAAAGTATACAAAAAAACAGTCTCAAGCTTACAGCTGAAATGTATGCTATATAAAAATGAACAGAAAAACACGTCCGAGGAGACTCACTTGGGATGCGCCTCCGTGTGGCAATCGATGGTTACATCTGTGCCGGATGGAGCGCCAACAAGTTGATTCGGCACCCAAATCATGGGCGAGACTGTGGAAAAGAGGGTTGGAAAAGGAAAAATAGGTTGATATGGTACGTTAGCAAATGTAAATGGCACCTGGGGGAAAACGCCAGTGGTTGGAAAAGCGAAGGAAGGTGGCGTTGCAAAGCACGCATAAGCGCCAGCATTACGCCTGTTCAACATTTTTCAGATCTGTCTGTCTGCTTTTTTTTTCTTCACCAGCTTAAAATGAAAGTGCAATGACAAAGCTGGAAAACTTAGACGAGAGGTACAGCCAGCATATAAGTGGAGCGGCATACAATATGGCTAAGACAACACGTCAGCGAAACGAGGGTTTACCCAAAAGAAAATAAGTTTAGCACGCGGTACGTGCTGCAGTTGGTTTTGCCACTATATATTGTTTTAGGCATTGAAAAGACCACAAGATACAAAAGGTTTGCTCTTACTATTACTATGGTATGTACCTAAATAAAAAAAAATTAAAAAATATTTTTAAAACATATTTTTGCTAAGCTGTGTGCTTTTCTAAGCTTTTACCCTTCAAACTTAATCCATTATTCCCATAAATTAAACCTAATCGCCCAACATCAGTCTTTGTCTGCTTTCCAATATATTAAGCCTTCCATCTCACTTAACACAAAAATATGTGTGCTTACTTTTAAGCCAACCTCAACGAGAATGTATATTGGGTTGCCGTCGAAGCCCCAACTCCAAACATGAAACCAAAACCCCTTATCCAGGCAAACAACAAAATTGAAAGGAGCAGCGAGCTAGTTGGAAATTTTAAACGCTCCTGACAATGCCTACACCTGCAATTTGAGGAAGCTTACCCCCGCCAGGTGCCACGCCCCCTTTCAACGCCCCTCGGTGCGGCCACGCACAAAACCGTTCATAATAAAATAGAGAGAAAAAAAACACACACACACACACAGGGACGCACACACACGGCGAAACAGAAAAACGCCGTCAAAGTCATACGTGCAACGCCGGCAAGTGACTTTATTGCAGGTACGTGACGTGAATTATTGTCAAGGGGGGCAATACTCCTGCAGCAGGGGCGTAGTCGGGGGCAGTTAGAATTCGGGGAGGGGAAGGAAGGCGGACTGAAACTCGTTAGGATTAACAAGCGTTTACTGGCGCACGGCGTGCAATGGCAGCGTAACTTTTACGCCCAGAAACGGGACACAATATCTCCTGCTCCAAAATCACTGGGAGAAAATTGGTTTAGGAGAGTTTAAATACGTTTCTAAATTCTAATTTATAATTTCTAAATAAAATTATCTTTCGCTTAAATTAAGCATTTTTATAATAAGCCTCTAATCTTACTTCTATTGTTATTATTTACCCAGGATATCATTTTTTTAAACAAGATTACTTCAATTAAGATTCTCCAAATTTTTTTCTCAGCGTATTCTATACAGGTATCCGTTGTTATATATCAGCTGCATTAGATGGCGGCAGCTTAACTGCGTTTGTCACTCATTGCCGGAGCAACGAGCGTGCAGTTAAATTGATGAGCAGCAGGTACGAGGAGCAGGCGAAGCACAGGCAGCTCCATGAAGGAATATGGCACGAAAACCAGATAGCTTCCATCCTGCAGGATGCTAGATGGATGCCGGTAAGCCGGGCTGGCCGGATAGATAGATAGATGGATGGATAGCCCGGTTGGATGAATGGCCTCCTCGCGTTCCGGTAAGTGCCCGCGCGTGTTTCAGCCAAGCTGACAAAAGCGGCCAACTACTACGGTCTAATATAATACTATATGTACGCCCCAGCTCCTCTGCATTGCACTCTTCTGTTGGAATGGTTTCCATTCCCCAATAAGTTGGCCGTGCCCCCGATAATCGAATACTCACACTCCACGTCGAGAATGATCCGTTTGGACACCGATGGCGGTACTCCGTTGGTGGCGATGCACAGATAGGCGCCCATTTCATTGCGACTCACTTTTGTCAGCGGCAGGACATCGCCATCGTACACGAGAACTGATGTTTTCGACGGGGTTTTTTGGCCGGCAGGTGAACGTCCAGAACATGGAAATAAACGGGCCGAGGAGCATTGCAAGTTTTAAATCGAATTGGTCAACAAGGGTTGATTTAAAAGTTGTTGATTAGAGTAAAAATAAAATAAATCGAAATAATACCTATTGCCATACTTTAAATACAACTTTATCAAATAAATATTGTTTTACTTTAATACAAATTTCTTAAGTTCTGCTATTCTTGTGGATTATAAATATATTATATTAATCTAAAGTAAACATTGTTAACACTTTGATTCCTTAAAACTTCATATCAGCAATTTTGTTTTAAAACCCTTTTTATTTTTTAAACAAAACTGTTCAGTTAACCCAAAAAATTTAAACATTTTTCCCCTATCTCACATACCTTTCTTTTTCTTTTCAACGGCAATTTCCTCGCCATCCTCTCGCCGCCAAATGATTTTTGGGGCCGGGAAGCCATCGGCCCGGCATGTCATGTTGATATTTTGATTTTCACGCACCGCCACCGAAGATGGCGTGCTCTCGATGTCCAAAATGTTTGGCGGCACTGCAATGCAAATGGACCAAATTAAAATTGAAATGAGTCCAGTTGATTAAATAGGGGCATTGATTGAACTGAATAGGGGGATACTCACCCACCACCTGTAGATAGCCAACTTGGCTAATCATCGGATTTGTGTTGACCTGGCACATATAGTAGCCGCGATCGTCCTGATGAGCCTGATTCACGTGCAGCAGCCACGTGTTATCGGTGTAGGTTATGCTATATCGTGGGATTCTCGATATCACATGCCGGTGAATGGTCAAAATCATTTGTCTGTCTATGTGAATCCAAGCGACCTGCAAAGTTGGAGTCATTTTCAAAATCGATTCGTGTTATTTGCCCAACTTTCAAGGCAATGTCAAAAGACCTCAAGGCTGTCTTTAACGACTATCCCAACTATTCTGACTGCCTGCTAAAACTCATGTGGAGAACCTGCCATTATAAATGAACTTCATGTTGTGACGCAGGACCCGAGGATAAAGCCAGCTTGACAGCTGTTTCCGCATTTTTAATACACTTTTTTTTTATCCTTCTGTTCGCACTTTCTTTGGGCTTTCCTTTGCCTTTGCACCGAAAGACATGATACACGGAAAGATAAAAGATATATATAGTTTGCCGACAAAAAAATTGTTGTTGTGAATTAACGTTTTAAAGAGCTTTTTATATCTACATTTTATTTTTTATGGATTTAATTTATTAAGCTTATGCAAATTAAAAAAGGTTTTTGTATGCATGGTTGTTGTTTAAATTTTTAAAAAATGCAATATTGGCTTGTATGTTTTTTTAGTACATTTCTAAAACTGAATTTTAAATTCTAATCCGTATACAGAACGATTTTTCTTCATTAAAGCTTAATTTGTACAAATTTTCTCACTCTTTAACAGAGAGATGTGTTTTTTCTGGTGGAAGGATTTTCCCGGCCTTGAGTCAGCTGCAAACTTTTCAAATTTGCCCTCAGCAGCAGCACTGACAGCAATGAGTTTCTCGCCTTACTGTCCTCGACAATTTTCCTCATGTCCAGGCGAATGTTGACAAAAGTCCAATAAGAGCAAGGAGCAAGGACTGGTGTCCTGGCTGGGTCCTCGTCCTGGGGACAGTGTTTTATATGAAGTTGATATGGCGAGTAAATATTTGTGATTTGTTATGAGCTCCGCTGTGTGCCAGCAGCTGAGGGAGATAAATGATAAGTGATTTTCTAGCCATTTTGTTCGGTCGAGAGAGCAGCAGAGGTCCAGAAAGTCCTGGTCCTGGTCCTGGCCAGAGATGTATCCTTGGCTTATTGTGGATTAGCTGCATATACTCGTATGCAGCGCAGACCGGAGCCCATAAATTGTGTCTCCGGGCAAACAAAAGTTCGACTTGCTAATGACAGCTGAAAGTCATCGATGGCGAGTGCAGAATTTCCATTGTATTACAGAGTTATGTTTTGAAAGGCCTCCTTTATCTTGAGCTGCCAATTGAGTGCCCAAAAAGTCTGTCACTCTGCCTGCCTGTCAGTCAGTCAGTCAATCGCCATCGGTTCTTGTGCAATTTGTAAAATTGATTTTTGACAGTGTCCGTCTCGGTTGCAAGCTCCTTCATCAAGTGGCCGAGTTTCGGCCATGGCGTTCAGTTTACGCACGATTTATGACAGTTTCCCCGCTCCAGTTTCCCAGCACTTGGGGGTTTTCCAACCCCTTTCCACCCCTTTATGGAATTTTCACTTTCCCCACTTTCCCGTCACTCACCTTGTAGCCGCCCAAGTGCTCCACAACACAGGGCAGATTGGCATCTCGACCCACGGCGACAGTGACGTTTGGTATCGGCTGGGCAAAACGTGGCTCATCCATCATGACTGCGAATGGAAATGTGTGGCGAGAAGTGCCGCAGGGAGTGTTAGTTAGTTAATGAGTCAAAGAGTCAACTGAAGAAACCTGGTTCTACGACTGACCAAGAATTATGATTTTGAAATCGGTCAACCTACTATTGTGGTGAAACCCTTTTACAGGCTTTAGAAATCTTAATACGCATACAGTTGATTAGTCTGGCTTGTAGTATAATGCATGATATGGTGAAGAAAGGGGTTTGTGTACCTAATCATCTTAGCTTTTCAACTTTTTTAAGGGGTTATATACCTTCTTTGTCGAAAAAAAGAGGAAAGTTCGGATTTTTTTTTAGGTATGTAGCAATTATTTAATTACACGGGTGTTTTAATTTTTTGATAGTACACTTTATTAACTATGTTTGTGCAAAATTTCGTGGAAAAATATCAATTAGTTTTTAAGGGGTGGCTGTTTCCCTTAGAGGCCTTTTTTTTTAGAGCCTTGCGGTGATAACGCTCCTGGTCGAACCGGTCAATTGAAACCATAAAAGTAAAAAAAATTCATTAGTTTAGAGTAATATCTTGTGCTTGAACGAACGATTTAAAAATTTTTTATTTTTTTATGCATACGGGAACGTTTTATGCTAAAAATGAGCTTTTTGGTCTCTAGAAATTTCACTAAAAAATTAATTTCGGCAAAAAAGAAATTTTTGCGTGAAAAGTCGATCGTTCAAGCACAAGACAATTTCATTACGAACATTTAAAAAAAATTTGAAGTAAATCGGCTTAGTAGTTTTCCGCCAATCGTTATCACCGCAAAGTCATTTTTCAAGAAACACCATTTCGAGATATTCGCGTTTAAAGTTTCAAGTTCCGGTTCTAGCCGCTACGAGGCGCGCGGTTAGGAGCGCTGTAACTTTTTCTCTACTGCTCGAATCTCTATGAAAATTTGGGAAAATATTCTCAAAGAGTTGTTCTTTAAGATAAAACAATAAAAAAATTTTCGATTTTTTGAAAATAAAAAAGGTATATAACCCCTTAAGTGAAGATTATCTACAAAAACATATAGTTATTCTATAAGTGGCAGTACTTAAAAAAATTGACTGAGTTTATTATACTAATTATTTATAATATATATAAATAAGCTTCCAATTATTCAATAAGCAAATCAAAAAAAAGCAAAAGTTTTGATAAGTTTGTATTCCAATGACTTGAGGCTTAAAATTCCCTCAAAATTTCTTCTGAACCCGAAGGAAAAATGTCTTCCAAAAGTAGTTTTCAAAAAATTTTAAAGTACGTATGAATAATTTGTGGGGATGGCACAGCGAAGCACTCGCCATGGAAACCATAACGAAGTCATTAAAGCCCAGCGGAGTGTGCCGGTAATAAAAATAAAGAAGTGCAAATGTTGATGGAGGAGCAATAGCAGCTGTTGCCGGAAATCCCTGACCCACAGGCCAAATATAATCAACAGCAGCTACAGTGGCAACCGCAGCGTCATTATGAAATAATTAAACAAAGCAATTTTTTATCTGGATGGGAGTGGGAGTGGTGGCAGTGGCAGTGGGATTGGGGCGAAATGGCAGCACGTAGTCTGTAGCCTGTTGAGGCTGCCGCCTGATGCAACTTTCCTCTCGGTTTTCCTTTTCTGTGCATTCAGCTCGTGTTCGTGCCGCTGTCTTTGCCGCGGAAGTGCTCCACAAAAAGCGAAAATAATATGAACACTATTTCCCCGACTGTGGGATACCGGGCTCCTAGTCCACGGAGCGTTGCAACTGGCTGCTACTCATTAACAATTAGTTTTAGTTTTAAATTAATTACATTGCCTTATTATTTGAATTTCTTTTTAAGTCTCCATCGAAAAACATAGTAAGCTAACTAAGTGCTGTTTGTAAGCCAAATTAATATTGGCCACTTAAAAGCTGGTGAATATTTTAAAGAAGTCATTTAGAGGAGCACTTCATTTAACGGGCGCCAGAAAAACAATTTCCATTCTGAAATTCAACATACCCTTTTACACTACGTATGCCAGGTATAAAAAAAAACATGGTTTGCCTCCTGGCCAACTTGATGGGGCCCGTGTTGCCGTGTTATCTGCGTCATGCAGTCGGAGCACGCCCCTCCCCGCCCCAAACTCCCAGCCACGCCCCCTTTGGCCGGTAGGCACCAACGTTGCACCTGCCTCACGGTTCACGGCTTTCACCTGCGTTTGGGTTGGAGTTTTGGCTTCGCTCCGAGGACAAGCGGCGTTTTGAGGTCTCATTTTCTTAATTAAATTATGGCCAGATCTGACAGTTTCAACATGGAAAATAACACGTATTCGGTGGCGGAAATATGAGCGTATGGAAAAGCTTTTTAATGAATTCTAGAGTAAAGGAGTGGCTAAGAAAATATAAGCATAGACAAAAAAAACACCAAGTACTAATTAAAACGGGGTTTTCCCTATTAGCTTTTTAAAAGAAAAAAATTTATCGATTTAACTTATAAAAAATTCTCTAGAATAATTTGTTGAAGTTAACTACTGCACGCAAATTTATAAATGTGTATGACATTAAATAAGTTCTACGTAATTATGCTAGGAAATTATTGTTCTTTGTGGCAAACAAAATTATGGATTTATAAAAGCAAATTATTATCACATGCCAGAATTAATGTGTGGCATTTATAAAATATATTTGTTTTTCTATTAGTTTTCTTCCAGAAGAAGATATATATTGACTTAACTTAAAAAAAAGTCTCTAAAATATTTGTTAAAGTTATCATACTGCACTCGAATATAAAACTGTGTATGGCATTAAATAAGTTCTACGTTATTTTGCTATCAAATTATTTTTCTTTGTGACAAACAAAATTATGGATTTATAAAAGCAAATCATTATCACACACTAATACCAGAATAAATGTGTGGCATTTATAAAATATATTTGTTTGAATTTGTACGCAAATTTAAATAAGTTTGGATTGGTACCCCAACAAAAATATATAATAATGAAAGAACAACAAATTATTAAATTTTAGCTTACCGTGCGTCACCAGATTTGTCATGTAGATGAGGAACATAATCCGTCGATTTGTGAAGCGACTGGGAAATATATTCAGTGCTATCAGCAGCAATTTAATTACCGTTAAAATAAACATTTTATTAGTTTCGTTGTTTCGTAATTGTTTTGTTCTATTTTTAATTTTATCGATGCTTAATGCAGCATATATTCGTTGAATTATTTACACAGTAGCTGGCGCTTTTTGAACAACATTTTTATTTGATTCTCTCTCCCCGTTTGGTTTTATATTTTTTATTTCGCCTTTCGTTAAAACATTTATTTGATTTGCGTAATTTAATTTGCACACACAAGTGAACACTTTGGCAATCCAAATTTCATTTAGCGTAAAGCTTTAAAAATCGCTTAATTCACTTGACGCGCCGGATTGCATTTGCGCATTGTTTCTGTTGTTGTTGTTATTGTTGTTGCTGCAGACGAAACAATGAAAATAAAAATAAAAGTGCAGCCGACACACATGGGAAAAGCGGAGAAAGGGTCGGAGAAATGGCCACAGAGGAGCGCCGATTTCAGGGGATTATGGCATTTATTATTATGGCAGTCGTCCTGGCATTTGGCATTGTACTCCTGCTGCTACTGTTGTTGCTTGGGCTTTTCAATGTTGTTCGTTGACTACGCCAGTAATAAGTGAAAGCAAAACGATTCGAAACTATTAATACCCATTTTTAACCAATTCGGAATTGATTTTTTTCACAAATTTACTCATGCATATTAACACTTCAAAAATATTTACAAATATTTTAAGGAAATACAAATCTGTTCCAAATTTCTTGCCTAGACTTGTTTTATAAATATATCTTCTGAAACTTATTTAAAAAACCATTGTAGAAAATATGAATATAATTGAAATTCAAAGTTTGAAATTAGCTTGTTACGAACTTTTGTTTTGAAATCCTTAAAACTTAGTTGTCCCTGAAAGATTTTATTGTGAAGTTAAGTAAAATTACTTCTTTAAATCCTAGTCAGAAGTTTATTTTCTTATCGAACTTTTTCATACTTCAAATTGCAATGGTAATTCCCATTGCATTGGAATGAAAACAATGGGCGCACGCATTGCAGCTTGGTTTTCAACGCGGGGAATCCCCAACTATGATGGGGGTTATGACTGCCGGTTGTTTGGCCGTTGGTTGTTTTCGGACCTCGGTTTGCCAAGTTCATTTGGCCACCTCTCGCCTTCTGCCCTCTGCCAATGCAACATTTATTATTAATAGCACTTTATTCCGGTCAGTCGACGTCTGTGTGGCCGTTCATACACGACTATATGACCACGTATGAATGCGTTCCATTGATGTTACTATTTTATGGCCTCAGAAATGCGTTGTTCGGCGATGGATGGCCGCCAGTAACGGCTGTGTCATTGTAGCAGTTACTTTTATGGTAACCGTCATGGTGACCGCTGATTTCTGTTTTACCCGTTGTTACCAGCGTTATATGGCGACATTCCCATTGCACTGCAATTGCGTTTGATGCATTTTTTACACTTTAGTACGAGGAAACTCTCATGAGAAAAGCTGTACTAACTTTATCGAAGCAGTAAAGAATGTTTGGCAATAAATTGTTTATATTAATAGTGGTACGAAACCGCTGTTTTTTTAAGGGCTTGACAGCATTTGGAATACACAGTGTTCCATTAAATTGATTTTGGTTTTTTGCTGTCAATCTCGGACTACTATTGAGATTTTATTTTAATATGTTCTTTTCTTTTACCCAACAAACCGCCTAATCTGCCTACAATTTCCTCTAAAAAGGACATACAATAGACTGACTTTCAACTATATGTTTTCGGGTCTTGTTTTTCATTAAAATGCACTTCTACAGACTGGTTAGGCTGACATTTCTGCTGCACTCTCTGGCTCGGTCGCGAACAATTTTGCGAAATGAAATATGAATGAACATTCCATATCAACTTCCTGCATTGCCAGACTCATCCTGATCCCCACCCATCCTCACAGTTCCTCTCCAGCGACTGTGATTCATTTGATCCACTTACTCAACTCAACTGAGTTGGCGCTTCAATATATAAATATTTGATTCTGCGAAAAAAATTTGTAGCTGCTGCGAAATTTTCGGTAGTTTATTGTCCGCTGTCTGACAAAGGATTTAAATATTAATGCATATGCATTTATTAATTTTAGTTTTTATCGCACACGATTTGTAAAACCATTTGGAAAGTATTTACTCCATTTTGCATGTTTGCATGTACGTTTAAATGTCAATGAAAAGGATTTTTTTAATAAAATCATTGAAGCATAAAACTGTTGGATTTATGAATTTGTGAAATTCAATCAATATGACTTTGTCTGAATCAAATTTATTTACTTATGGATTGATGTTGTCTTTTTTAAAGTAATATAAAAATGAGTTTTGTGTGAGCTTAAACAAAAGGGTGGAGATGAAGTAATAATTGTCACGGGCAAATCATATTTAATATTCTTTAATTTTAGCTTCTGTAAATATTACTTAAAATACACATACAATTATGTCAGTCAATATAAATAATTATAAACTCATATATTTATTTTCCCATTAATTTTAATTGAACAACAAAAATGGTTCGAAAAGATAAAAAATCAATTATAATGACCTAGAAAACGTTGTCAGATCATTAACATATGTCAACAGCAAACAACACAAATCTAAAATCATACGCAATGTGCGTGTAAAGGGGCGTGTCCTTTATCCTTTGTCTATGTGTGTGTGTGTATTTGTGATTCAGACGAAATGGGCGTTCGGTTGCCTTGCTTTGGTTTTTGACATTTTATTGCGGACAACATTGTTTAGCTGGTCCTTTCCCCTTTCACCACCGCCACATTCCCTCAGTTGGGCTAGAAGTAATTAGGTTGAAATTACAAATTATGGGGTCCATGTAGCAGATTATTACGACAGAATTCAGAGAGCGGCTGAAAGCGAAATGGCCATGACTGGCTCACTGGGGAAAATTAAGGGGGCAACGCAAACGCTTGAAATTTTTTGTTGTATTATTTTGGTCCGTTTTTCAAACGGACAGCAAACGGCAGCAGCAGCAGCAACCGAAGAGAGCTCGTTAAAAAGCACTTAGGGGGTAAAATCAGAAAATCAGGGACGGAGGCAGTTGGGTAATTATGATGCAATCAGTACGCCAACGTCCACTTTTAGGCCAAAGCGCAATCACAACTTAACAAGCTCGACATGTATAAATTGTAGCTAACCAGCGTTTCCGTTCTAGCGGCTCAAAGTATTCCATTCGCTCGCTAAAAATTCCTCAGTTGTGACAAGTGGAAATTTCGCTGACGAAAAACGGAACAAAAGCTGAAAGCGGAAAAATCCCAAAAAGCAAACCGAAGCCAGACCAAGACAAACCATAAAAGACAGTCTCAACTGCGCACTCAAGATGGAACACAATGTAAATTATGCTTGGAGGTAGCTGAAGAAATGGCATTCATGGCTGTCATCTTCACCAGCTCCACCGTCTCTTTCTTTTTCCACTCAGCCTGTCTCTTTCGGCGACAGGAGAATTGTCGGCCAGGCAGCTGAACAATTTCTGCAGATCTGACATCCAGCGCAAATGGAATTGTTTGCAGATGGATTCACCAGACTGCCGAATGAGCAATGCAAATAGATTAAAACATGTAAAAAGATATAAAACTAAAATAGTTTTTGTGAGAATAATATTTTTGAATTATTCTATTAAAAAATCAAGATAGTAAAAGAATTTCTTACATTTTCTCTATGTGAATTCCCTAGTCTAATAAATATTTAGTAAAATATTCAATGCAATGTCATAGAGTGCAGCAAGAAAAAACATTGAAACCTTGTTCTTTTTGATGCCATGAATTTTCTACGACTACTGCTTTCAAGGAACCTTTTTCTTTATTTTCGTATTAATACCACCAAAAATAATAATAAAACACAAGAACGATGTGATAATTTTACATTCATTGTGTGCAGCCTTGGAGTGCTAATTAGTAAATGTTCTTGTTTTCCCTCCATTATCCTTTGTTCGAGCGAGGGGAAAAATAACTATCTGTAGCGAAAGCCCCAAGCTGCTTATAAGCTTCAGGCGAAAACACACAGGCACACAATTTCCAGTGGTCCATTTTGGTTACCTAACAGCTCATGGTAAGTTTTCACGAATCTGAAGATTGCTTTTCAGTTGAAAGTTTTCAGCATCATTAAAAATGGCTAATGTGGTTGGCTGTGTGGTTGGTTAGACAAATCTTTTTCTTGATGAATGGCAACTTCTTTTTTTTTTCTTGCTATTTAAAAAAGTAAAGAGCAAATAAAGCTCTAAGTATTTGAAATTCATATTAAGAAACAGCCAGTTCTATTCTATAATACCCTTAACTTTGCATACTCCGCGCCGCTTTTATCCTTTTCTCTTTACAACTTTGAAAGTGAACCCAATTAGAGTTCATTTCTTGGCAAATTGCTTCGTCTGGCAGCGATTACATTTCAGATTTCCGTTCTACTCCATCACCGAACTGTCAATCCCCGGAGCAAAACGGGCTCTTTGAGATGCAAAAACAAAAAAAAAACAATTGATTTATTAATGCACTCGATGGCAATAACACCGCGCTCCTTGTTATCCGTACTTTGCCGCACCTAGTGCAATGAACCAGAAAGATGATGATGTTTGAATAACGAGGCAAATGATGGAAATAGGCGAGCGAAAATAAAAGGCGGAAAAAAACGGGGAAAACCCGGAGCCGAATGCCGTGAGACTTGAGTTTTCTCTTAGTTGCCGGCTTGAGGAGTAATGCCTTTACAAGCTAGAGGATATTAAAACAAGAGAGAGGAAAGCTGGTGCTGCAGCAACAGCAGCAGCGGAACGGAGAATGTTGCATAAACTTAACATAAATAATGGAAGCAATATTTCAGCTGCAGGAGCCGGGATCCTGCAGCAGGAGCCCTACAAGGAGCAGCAGGAGCAGCCGGAGCAGTAGCAGAACCCAAGTAGCAACAAATGAAGTTTGGATGACTTGCAGCGCCGGCTGATTGCCGTGAAATTTATGTGGCACAGGGCTGAGTGAGCAACCAGCAGTCTCTCGTCTTGAGCTTCTGCTTCAGCTGTATTTTTAATGAATTTTCCCCCGAATGCAAATTGCGGAATACGGGAAACCCCTCCTTTCTCATTGCCATACTCATTCGCTTTCCCTGGGTTTCGCTGCATTCAGGTAAACGAATTTTTAACGATCCAACCGCAGAATTTATTGTCGCCTGCTGTTGCGGCACGATTTTCTTTTATGACCAACCGCACTCACACACGAAATATTTTAATTGTTGCACACTTTGGCGGTTAATTGAATTTAAATTTCTTTGTTTTTATTTCCAGTGTAACCACTAACAGGAATTTCGCGTATTTGAAACTCTTTGTTTTATGTTATGTGTTATTTATGATTTATTTTCTGTGTTGTATTCGAATTTTTGCTTTTTGGTGGCAACTCGCGGGGCTGACTTCCACTTCCGGAGCAAGTTCGAGTCAAACTGATTTCAAATCGTTCAGCTCAATGGTTCGGTTCATTGGCAAAGGAAAAATGCTTCGGCTTTCCGAAATCCGAAGTGCTTGTTTCGTGTTTACTCGTTTTGCCATCGGCTTAGAGCATTACCAAAGTTTCGTTAAGTTTCGAAAGTGTTTTTGGCGCAGGCGCAGTGATTTTTCGAACCAAACACGTGCGCTCGGCTTTTGCTGAGAAGGAAATTCGAGACGAAAACGGAACCCAAATCAAAACAACATTTTGCGCCCTTTTTTTTATGTTCTCCGAACTTTGGCTCTTTGCGACAAAAATGTGGGTGAGAAGAGCGTAAAAGAAGTACAACAACTGGAACAACAACTTGTAAGCAACGCATAAATCTCATTGGCCAAGAATGTGAAAGCCAAAATTAATTCCAACGAACGAGCCGGCAAATGCGCTGTGGTTTTAGGCCTCCACAAGGGTTGACTTGAACTTGAATGGGGATTTATGGGGGATTGAGATTGCTTTTAGCCTGGCTAAGGTGCACAAAGGTAACCGAGGTGGTTTCAAACGGTCGAAAATGTTTGGAAGAAATTTAAAACGTTAACGAAAGAGGTATTTTCCTGGGTTAAACTTTTCCATAAACAAGATTAATATAGTGCGTTTTACTGTATTTATTCAAATATATTAAATATAAGGATAACCTTTTTTTAAGTAGCGTCAGAAAATAAGTCTTTGTGCTAATAAAACATAATTCTCTGCTAATTTTTCCCTCTACAAACATTTCATCACCAACGTTCTCCATTAATTTGTATTTAATTATTAGAGTAGTAGTAGAGTTCGTTTTTTTTATAAAAGCTAAAAGACATAACCAGTGAATTTTCCAACTTATAACTTTCTCCGCCTATGACAACAAAAAATGTATTTGGTTCTGCTCGTGCAATCACAACGCACAAGCGCATTCACAAAACAGCAGTAAAACTAGAGGCAGGATATTACGCAACCTTTAGCCGAGGAGAATATTATATCTTATATCTTATCTCGCTCTTCTTCTTTCGTTTTCCTTTACCCAATAATTTCTTAAGTTTAAATGTAAAAATTTCCCTTTGATATCTGCTTGTTCCGAGGGTAAGGATGTTGTTCGAGTTGTTGCTTTCCTGGTATTCTTGTGCGCATTTCATTGCCAGTTGTGTCGGAAATCCAAGTTGATGTTTTCTTTATAAGTTCTCCGAGTAAACAAGGAGCCCACTTCCTTTATGCCAGGACCACCGCTGAGAAGGCCAGTTTTCTTAAGGCTGAGGAGGATTTTCAGGAAGTGCGCGCTTATGCCAGAAATTTGTTTTGTCTTCGGTGTATAACAATCTTGTTTACTTTACTGGCGTATTGCGGTTGACTTCTGCCAGCTGCAATAAAAGAAAAAGCACCAGAACCAAAGGCTCGAAAAATATGAAAAATCCATTGAAGTCTGGCTGTAACTTTAATGGAGAATCTCTTTGTGGTCTCTTTACGGTGTGTGTGCTCGTGCATCCATCACGCAACCAGGGAAAAACTCATCATAAAGTGGTTTGGGAGACCATCCCATTTTCATTCCCACAGACATTGCAAATGGAGCTGAGGAAGGATTTACAGCATTCGCATATGGACATCATCTTTATACGAGTGTCTGCGGGAACTCCTTTTATATTTATTACATCATTCGATGGCATAAACTCGCATATTAAGTGGATTGATGTATTAATATTTAAACGGCGATTTGTGGTTTGCGGTAAGCTAAAGTTGCTCAGGGAACTTGACTTGAGTCAGTGCTAAACCCTTGACCCTTTCGCTAAAACATATGGCAGGCACTTGAGGGATAATGAGGCATCTGCACATCTTTTATCGATCGAATGGGCCACACTAACCTCCACTTTGTTGCGTCATTTTATCCCCCCGAGTTCCTGGTTAGAACTTCCCCTGATCTGGTCACATTAAAAGGCGACACGCATTGTGGAGTCCCGTGCTAACTTTTTGTGCGTGGCTCATAAATAAAACATAAAGTCGCCCGCTTTTTATTTTTATACATTTTATATACTGCTGCAGGCTCCGACAACTTTTCCGAGGTCGGTGAACATGTTTGGAAAATGTTTATAAAATGACGCAGAAAGCGTACAAGTCATAAATAATGCGTTTGAGCTGCTGGAATAAAACGAGGAGGCGAAGTTGAAGTGTCGCAGTAATTTAAAATTAGCACGCGTTTGACATGCAAATATCGGGAAACAAGTTGAGACCGCATCTCGCAGCTGGCAATTACAACTACAGCAGACAAGGTGGCGTATACGCAATATGCTACTAATAAGTCCTCTTTCGAAAAGGAAACTCGAGATAAGGGTCATCTTGAGAGGTCCCCCATATTTGAGTGCTCTGCATACAAATGAGTTGGGTTACTTTAATCTGACCTTAGTAGAAATCAATTTAAGCTTTATTTCCTCATGTTCCCATTGTTCCTTTTGTTGTTTGGTGTTGTCTTTGGAAAATAAATAAATTGCAAGTGATACAAGCACAATTATTTACAATTAATTACGCCTCTGACGCGAGTTACACTCCTGCGTCCCTTTAAAATGCAGGGGTCAATATCCTGCTCCCCTTTCGATTATCTCACTCAAGTATTCAGATGTGGGGGCGTGGCACCTAACAACCTTCCGCCCACAATACACAAACACACTCGATTAACATTTAATTGCATCTGCGGCAGCCCGAAATTGAGGCCACAAATTCCGTAATCGAAATTATTGTTGAGGTCTCCGCGCCAGAAATCGCCGAATTATGTCCGATCCCAAAGTGTATATATTTGATTGAGGTTGCAGGGCGACTTACCTGCCACTTACCAGGTGCACGTCGGCCATAAATGAACAATGAAATTAGGAGCTGCAATAGGGAAAGGACTTCCATCAATCAAGAAGCACTCAAGTGGCCTCCAAGGCCGAGGGGCAAATTAACCCGGATGCTGAGCAAAAGGAATCTTCTTCCAAATAAACCCAATTCCTAAAAACGGAAAAGTCTGAAGGCGTTTTTTGTGTCTGCGGTTCCCCATTCCCAAATTCAGTGACAACAAGCAACAAATACTTCCGCATTTCACACGGTTTTCCCCGGTTTCAAGTTTCCAGGGGGGTAGAATTCCACAAATGTTGCGCCAAAAATAACATTTGAATACCCGAAAGGATTTTATTTTCAGCCTCGTCGCAGTCTAACAAGAGTGGGAAAAGTAGGAACAAGGCAGGGGAAATGGCAGTGAAGGGGATTCGTGGACGACTCTATTTGGTGGAATTTTGTGGAGCAGAATGTTTTTTTCATTTGCGAGTGAGTGAATAAGTGACACTTTTTTCGCCGTTGTTTTCTCGCGCGGGAAGAAATACACACAAGCCGAATGATTTTTCTAAATTGGTCTGTTTACTCTGGTTATTTTCCGTTCGTTTTCAGTTTTCTATTTTGTTACTGATCCAATTGAAAATTGTTGAAACGCGTTACAGTCCATTTATATTTGAGCTTGTTGTTTGATTTTAATTTGTTCGAAAGCAAATTTGTCTAGCATTGTCCATCCCTCTTCGCAACTCACACGAAATCCCCAATACTCCTATCTGATGCACTGCATTGATGGAAATCGATATTCGGATTCTTGCCACTGACACTGCCATCAGATAAACTTTAATCAGAATGGAGGAGTCGAATACAGCGCCATATTCTGCCTTGTATAATATCCATCACTCCGCCTTAAGAATTTCGTTGCCGATTTAAGGTTTTCATTTTCACAATCTGTTAGTGATGCTTAATAACAATATGTTATTTTTGATGGTCTCACTTAAGCAGCTTTTCACATGCCCATCCAAATGCGTACATTTCTGTTTTTGGCGCATAACTTCCTTCTAGTAGATTTATCTACTCTAGATGCAGGACCAAATCAGAGATTAAAGGAAGGCAAACTTCTTGACGAAAACAAGTCTGAATCAGAAAGGATTGTAGTTATTTGCCCATCTAGTGAATTATAATTTTGTTTGTCCATTAAATTCATCTGAAAATATTATAATGAGATTCACTAAACTACTTGAGAAAAGTCAGCATTTAATATTTTTCTAATGATGCATAAGCTCAGGGAGACGGACAGAGGACTTGAAACTTCTTATGCTGTCTGGCATTACCCAGAAACTCTTACTAACTTTCTTTAATAAGCTATACCACCCACTCAGCTCCTTTAAAACTAATTACTCCCGTTTTGCTTCGATTTCCAATTTAAGCAACCCCAGAAGAGCTAAACAATGGGATTAAAATCGGTTGCAGGGAGGATGTATCAACAAATACAAACAATGAGCCCCATAAAAACACCCAACAAATGTGGCAAACTGCATTTCAGGCTGCTTCTTTTCGCAGAAAAAAATGCATGAGAGTAGTTTCATTCGACACGAGAATAGCCATCGAATCTTCATGTTTATGCCTTAGTTTGGGGAAAAGTTTCGGTTGGCTCTGCTTAGATAGGATGTGGTCATCAATAACGTGAAGCGCATAATTTATGGACATTAAATAGGCATTTGTCTTGCGGCCAAGTGAAATATGTCAAAAGTTTTGCGGCAGTTTCGGGCCGAAATGTATTTGCATACGCAACGAAATAAATCTAAATTTGCCCAAAGGTTCGCACATGTGAAATCAGCGCAAAGAAGATTTATCGCATGTCCAGGAAAATATCCAGATGTCCGCGCAACACAACAAAAAGAGTGGCTTAAGTTGTGGGCGTGTCCCGAAGAAAGGCAATTGCGGTGGGTCCCACGCTGCGTATGAGCAATATTAATTATTCGTTGCACTGGCTTCTCTCTTTTATTTTCTCCTCATCGTAATGGGTTCTATAATGGGTATCAAAACTTTTAAAGGTATATAATCCTGCAGGGGTACCTCCAAATTACATTTTAAAATTGAATATGGATTCTAACAAAAGAGGTTCATAATTTACTGAAAGAAATAAAAACAAAGACTCCTCAATGTATAATCTTCGCTAGAAAAATATTTTATACATTTTTACGAAGGGCAACTCATAGTTCGGTAGAGTGGTAATCCTCTTTGCTTTTATTATTATGGCTTACATTTTACAATGAAATATTGCCTCACCCTTACGCCCTGCTCTTTTTAATTTGTCTTCCCTTTTTCCCATTTCCCTTTCTTCATCTTGGGCTGAAGTTGAGGCAATTCATTAACAAAATGAATGATTGCCGAAGTACCTGGCTCCTTTTTTCCTGCATCCTGTACTGAAATGCACATGTAAATTGATGTTCTTGCTGTTATTGTTTATTGATGTATGCAAGGAAGGCAGGAGTAAGAAACAACATAAACAGAACTTACTTACTTAACTCGAATTTTCATTTTTCATTCTTCGCAAAGCGTCGAAGGCCCCGAGCACTTGAAACAGAATCGCACCAGAGTTTTATGGAATGGGATGGGGTACTGTGCATTAGGCAAAGAGCTGGTAATTAATTGCCTGATGGAAGATATCGATTATCGCGACGCTGAAACGTAATATTCACGGCTTACGATGATTTACGGGCTAAATGAGCCCGAGCTTAATTGATATTTGTTGTAATAATGATCTTAAAGTGGTGTTAAAATAATCAATAACACCTAAAAACATCATAAAGTAATCAAGTGAATAGTATATGAAGCGGACCCAGTAGTTAACTTAAAAATACAACTTTATCCATGTAATAATAAACTCTGTTATCCCCGTAACTATTAAATTATGTTATTTAAAGTCATCTGTGAAGTTATCCCTTTTGTAAAGTTAATTTCCCCTTTATGGGCAAACTTTATTTAACTTTAATATGGCCAACATATTACATAATTTGTCAGTAAGACTCTTGACTTTCAAATACACCAGTCAGCCACCGAGACAGACAGCAAACTTATGAGAAGTTTATGACACCAGCTTAGCCCGACGTGGGAAGGATATACATACGCTCGTGTTTGACACGCATGTAAGTCATTACTCAGCAGGAAGAAGTTTGTGTTGCAAGTGCAAAGTCGTTAAAAGCAAAAAATGAAAATGGAACCAAATCAATTCATGACTTAAGGTTAAGTGAAAAAGTTTCACCATTAAAACTGACAAACTGACGGAGTCCCCAGAAACGGGTCGTACAGATTTCTGTTTTGGTTTCGATATCAATTTGTTAAGTTTATAAATCAAATTTGGAAAATCCCTTTCAATTCATTCCAAAACCCTTGAAGGTTGGTAAATAAATCCAAAATATAAATATTGACTAAATTAAAGTTCAGCCACATGCAGAACAAAATCCTTAAGGCAAACATTCAATTTTCTTTACTAGTACGTTTAACTGGCATTGAAAGGAGAGCACAAAAACTTTGGCCACCAGGCAAATATTAAGTTTACTTTTGCTTAGATGAATAATGCAACTGACATCCGAAGGACCGGACCTCGAATGGGAGGGCAAAGGACTGTCTTCAAATATTCTTTGAGCAAATTTTGTCGCTCCACACATGTGAGAATGTGAGAGGGAATGCAAATCATAAATCACCGAGGAAAAGCTTGCAACTTTTCCTCATACATAAAATCTCGTACATGAAAGTTAATTAAATGAAAATCTCGTTTGTGGGTCAAGTCAACAGGAGCTCTCGCTAGGGCTGAATAAATTTTTGGTTTGAGAATAATGTTCCTGATTTAATGCCCAGCCAGATCAGCTGCGAATTGTTGAAACCATTAATGGTTAAGGGAAAAAATGTGATTTAAATGCGGACGGAAAAAATGTTTACACAGGAATTGTTTTCCCTTTTTGTAGGGCCTTTTTTTTGCGTTTAAATTTTTAAATGAGCTGCGGTTACATTTCCGCATGTCAACGTAAACCACAAAATATTTTAAATTAATATTATTTCATCTGTTTGTGCAGCACATTTAATTTCTATGCCATTTAAAAAGTACCCCCGGTGTTACTTTACAAATCGATGGGGTTTATCGACCCAATGTTCGTGCAATTTGTAGCTGCTTTAAGCCCAGAAAAGCGTTCGATTCGTGACCACAGTTCGTATCTCTTCGACTGCGTTTCTGTTGGCCATGGCAGCGGAAAATCCCTGCACTTGGCCGACTGCGGAAACCCCCAACAACACCGGCAGTCCAGCAACAAGGTTTTGGACCATCAATAACCGACTGCAGGAACTCTGCACAAACAAACGACGAACCGGAGAACCTCGGCCACGTATTTATCAGATTAAGATACAAACACATGATCGAGTGACTGGCGTGGGGTGGAAAGTACGGGGCTGAAATGGAGCAGCTCTTCGGACCGGCGTCTAATTTTGCGGTTGCAGTGCTTCATGAAAGAAAATAAAGGAAAATTAATACATTTAATGTATACTATACCGAATATATAATATTAAAAATTCTCAAGGTGAGATTATGAAGTTTCACTTCACTCCCTAAATATTGAAATTAATCAATATCTGATACCTAAATAATATAAATATTCCTGAGGGCTTAAACATTTCCAAAACTAAACAATTATTGAAAGTGAATTGGTTTTAATTTTCAGTAAGGACTAATTGCTGTTTCGCCTCAAAAGGTATTATTTACACCTGAAGTTCCCCTTTTTTTCCAGTGTATTTCCGTCTAGCCGCTCTGTTGTCTGCGCCTGTTGTTTACGTGAACGGTTGCAGACTAAATGCGGCTGCGGTTCGAAGCACTCTGCGAAGCCTGCGGCCGCCTAATGAACGGCGACATTAAATAAAATGTCGGTCAATTGTCGTTGCGGCAATATTAGCAGACAAGATGGGTTCCGCCAGTTTCCTCCGAGGGAAAATCGGCAGGACGCGACCCAACCAGACGGATAGTTAGGCAGTGGAAAATGGCCACAGATTCCCGGCTATGTGTGTGGTAATTGATTTTCCGAATAACGGTAGTTGCAGGGTCTTTTTATGCGGCCCTAGCAAAGTTTTGGCCCTAAAACTTTGCCGGCTTGATGCACTTGTTAATGTTTAAGCACTGGCAAAACTTGTTGTCTGCATGGAGCAGCAAGAGCAGCATCGGGAGCAACAAGCTAAAAGTAACCGCCACAAGTTGGAAAATGCTGGCTATCGAAGTCAGTTGGTTGAATGCTCTCGGAGATTAAAATTTATTTTGAAATTCGGCTAAGCTGGTAGGGTACATACTTTGTGGCATAGGTTTATCGAATCTGGTTAAATATTGCTTGACTTGCTTTCGACAACTTGTACTTTGGCTACAAGCAAGCATGAGCTGCAAGTAAACACAGCTCAGTCTAGCAAACAAGCCTGATCGAAACGGAATAAGTTCAGCTTGTTCTATTTAGGGTTCGAGGGATTCATTTTGAAGTTGTCAGATCCAGAAATTATTGAATGTTATGCAAAGTTAAATTTAAATGGTTATAGTTTATTAAGGCAGCAGTAAAATTAAATAAAATAAAAGTTAACATATGACAACTTATTCTTGCTTTAGAATTCTTATTTTAAAGCTGAAAGCAAGACAATATAATACCTACCAACTTTAAAGGAATATCGAACGCAAAAAAATATTGACTTAACCAAACACACAGACCAAGTCAGTCAGTCAAAACAGACATGTGGAATAATTCAAAGCGACGCGCTCATTAAATATTAACACTTTAATCTAGCCGATGGTTGTGTGTGTGTGTGGGTGTGTGTTAGTATCCCAGAACCTTCGAATGTATGTGTGTGTTAGTGGACCCAACTGCGGTTGAAGTCATAAAGATGGCAAACTTATACGATATCCTCTCCGGCGAAACACTCACGGACGTCTGTGCGCTGCATGCTAAACAGTTTTGAGAAACACACAAAACTCGGCAATTGAAAATAAAACAAACCGAAAAGACATAAAATCCGGCGGAACGCGGATAGAACTAAAGAGCTATTCCCGGCCAGCACGCGAATGGGCTGTCCATGGTACATAAATTGCCAAAGAAACATTGTGGAACACGCCCATTTGCAAAATAATTATACGCCTTTGGACGGAGCAACACCAAAGAGCAGAGGAGTGGGCCACAAATTAAATCAACAAGCACAAACGTGGCTTTGGCCAAATACGCCCACCGCAGAAAGCAAACTTTTCAGCGCCGCAAAATATGAAGCATTAATATTCACGCCCATGTTAAAAGCACATAAATAGGCGTGGTATGCCAGCAGCACTTCCGTTTGCCTCGGCCTGCCATTTGTGCCACACCACCCTGCCCCTCAGCGTGCTCCTAAAAGTTGCATCTAATTTTCCAGCGAAGCCCATTTAGCCGGCCAATAGACAATTGGTCGTGGAAAATTGCCAGTGCCTCAGCTGCTGGAAAATCTAGAAAGGTATTTTTTAAAGTAAAAGCTTTTGTTTGTGGCACTTAAAAATATAACAATAAACATTTATAGTTATAAGAGAAAACATTTTTCTATAAGAAAGCATTCTCGGAACTTAATACTGCTGTGAACTGTGTTGGCTGAAGCCAGTTTTTCGTTTTTTTTATTTTTTTGAATTGTTAGAATAAGTATCGTTGAATTTGAAGTTTACTGTAAGTTAGTTTAGGGCGAAGGCGGGAGCGCAATAAAGCTTTTGTTCGCTCTCTGCGAGTTCGCTCCGTCTTCGCCAACCTTCGGTAAGCTAGGCTTAAGTATGATTGTGGAGAATAGATCATTCGTTGAAATTGAGTTCGATCGAGCGCACGCATTATTTTTCGTTTCGTTGTCGTTTTGCCAATAAATTTATTAATTAGCCACCCAAGTTTCGGTTTTTAATAATTAGAAAAACGCTTCTAATTTTTCATGGCGCCCCCGGGTGGACTAATTAATTAAATTAAAAGGCAACAAATTTTATTTAAAGTGACAGTGACACATATTCAAAAGTGCAAGTGATTTTTCTTGTGTTTTTTTGGTGATACATACATATACATATATATCAAATTGCACAAAATCCAATTTTGCTTGTGATATACACAGTTGCCCGCGACGTGTGTTCAAAAGAAAAACATTTAAGCTCCAGCTATTAATTAATCGTGCCGGTCGCGAAATTAAATACCCTAATTCGACGTTTCTGCCACCGACGAGGGATGCCCTGCGATTGTTCAAGTTGCAAAAGGAAAGTGGCAGCAGGATTGAAAGATCCAAACGAAGAACCAAAGGTATTTGTGCGAAAAATTGAAAGCTGAGTTTTGACAAAAAACTAGAAATATTCGTTAATTGTCTAGTGCTGAAAAATTGCACCTCGCTTTCAATTCTTGGCACATATGTACAAAATAGTAGAGCTAGATTGCATGCAAAATAAAATTTAAACAATTTTAATAATTTCAAAGAGTACCAAAATATTAAAGCCATTATATATATATAAATACCTAATATATTTACAAGTGCTAAATTTATGTATACTATTTGAACCAATTTGGATGCAACTTTTGTTAAATTGTGTTAAATTATTGCAATCACTGTCGCCCCCCTTGTTTTTAATTATCGCTAAAACCTCGCAAGTTAATAGTTGGGAAATTAATCTAAGCCGTTATACACAAATATATAAGCCCTTATATGCAAGCAGCTGCAGCGGTAAACTTTTTTTCGTTTTCGCTTTCGCTTGGTCGCCGCTAGCAGCGTTGTTGTTGTTGTTGGGTTCTTGTCATTTGGGCGCGCTACAGGTTAACGGACCGGCAAGTGACGCGCTACCCCGCATTCGGTTGGGTATATTGTTTTTCGCCGTCGTTTGCACCCACTATTAATTTTGATACTTCGTGCCTCGATATTCAATTTAAAAATTATTTTCGTTGTTTCTCGCCTCTAAATAATTATTTAATAATAATAATTATTTAATAATTTTTTTTCGAACAAATTTAATATTTTATAAATTATTATTTTTTGTGGTTTAATTCGAAAATTAATTTCATTTAATTTTTTAACACTTGGTCCTTTAATAATTTACTTTAATAAATTTGGTTTTTAGTAATTTAATTCAAAAATGAGCCAAGAAAAGCCAAAAGGTAACTTGCTTGAAGACTTGAAAGCCAAGTTACAAAATCGAGTAAAAAGCATTCGCCGATTAAGTGATCGACTCGATTCTGGCGCGATCGCGATTAAAGAAGAAGAATTAAAATGTAGATTAGATACGTTAAACGCTGCAATTAATAAGGCAAATCTATTGCAAGAAGAGATAGAAGATATAGATGATGGCGATGAATTTAGAGATGAGTTGGAGGAGCTATCAATTGTTACCAAGGCAAAATTAATGTCGCTCTTGTCGGCCTTGAAGACAGCAAGCGATCCAAAAATTTCCGGATCAGCTTCTGTAGCCCCAACTCGAGCTCGACTTCCGAATTTGGCCTTGCCAAAGTTCAGCGGCAAATATTCGGAGTTTAAAAATTTCATCAGCCTTTTTGAAACTCTCGTTCATCAAGACGACAGCATTCCAGTTATCGAGAAATTTAACCACCTAATTTCGTGTCTCTCCGGTGAAGCCTTAGGGACTATTAAGGCTTATCAAGTCACCGCGAGCAATTATGAGAAGGCTATGGCCAGCCTTAAAAAAGTCTACGATAACGAATGCTTGATTTTTATGAATAATATCTCAACATTGTTCACTCTTCCAAAAATTACGCACCAATCAGCGTCTTCCTTAAGAAGCCTTATCGATACCGTTTCATCAATTTATGGATCGTTGTTATCGATAGGAGATGATACAAAAATATCCAATGCAATGTTGATTTATCTCGTCTTGAACAGAGTAGACCCAGTGACTAAACAAAAATGGGAAGAACAGCTCGATTATGAAACTTTGCCGCTTTGGTCCGATTGTGAGAAGATGTTGAATCGCCGATATCAGCATTTATCTGCTGAGGAAACATCAAAACCAAAGCAAGATAAATTAATTCCGAGCAAACATAATCGAAGCTCGTTTTCGTGTTCTTCGACCAACACTAAGTCCGTGCAAAGTTGTAGCTATTGCAATGCTGGAGACCATGTCCTAGCGAACTGCAGTCCGTTTGGTCGGCTGTCAGTAATGCAAAGGTTCGATTTTGTTAAATCTGCGTCTTTGTGCATAAATTGTCTGCGAAAGGGTCATACGGTTTCCAAATGCAAGAGTAGTAAATGTCGAGTTTGTGGTCGCTCGCATCACGTTTTACTGCACAGGTATACCGTCTCCGAGAATAGTTTAGCGTTGCCACCACCCCAAGAGAGTCTGTCTCCCTCTAAAAGTCAGGATCAGCCTTCCACGTCACATGTTATGCATGCGACATCATTGGACAGGGTGATTTTGGCCACGTCGATCGTAAGTGTCCGTACGAAAAGCGGTGAATACATTTTGGCTCGAGCCCTTCTTGACTCTGGGTCTCAAGCCAATTTCGTTACAGAAGACCTTGCTCGCCGCTTACAGATCCGTAAAGAGGAATCGTGTATCAACTTACTTGGTATTGGCGAATCCAATTCTCAAGTTAAGAAAAAGGTACACACAGTGGTGAAGTCGCGAATAAATGGTAGTGAATTTTCGTTCGATTTTTGGATTTTGAAATCGATATCCGGATATCATCCGGACCAGTCTGTGAATATCAGTGACTGGAAAATTCCAAAGAACGTACCATTAGCAGACCCCTATTTCTACAAGCCACAAAGAATAGATATGTTGATAGGAGCAGAATCATTTTTCGAGCTTTTAGCTGTTGGTCAAATTAAGCAAGGTCCTGACTATCCAACTCTTCAAAAGACCCTTCTTGGATGGGTTGTTTCAGGCAGATACAAGGCGTCTGCCCCAAGAGATGTTGTGAATAGTTATAGTTGTAGTGAAGAGCTGTTAGTATCGATTGATAGCACGCTACAAAAGTTTTGGTCACTGGAAGAAATGCCATCTATAAAGAAAATTCTATCACCTGAGCATAAGTTGTGTGAAGAACACTATAGAAAGACCACTCAGGTTTTGCCATCAGGTCGGTTTGAAGTTAGATTGCCGTTTAAATCTGATCCCACTGGATTGGGCAACTCATTCGAGGTTGCAAAAAGGAGATTTCTGTCGCTCGAAAGAAGGTTGTCGCGAGATCCTGAATTAAAGAAAATGTATCTCGAATTCATGGAAGAATACCTCGCGTTAGGTCATATGTCTCCTACAGACAATAGAGTTCCTTTGACTCCACATTATGTTATTCCGCATCAGTGTGTCCTTAGGCCCCAGAGTACGTCTACTAAGTTGCGTGTCGTGTTTGACGCCTCTTGCAAAACGTCATCTCAGGTGTCCCTAAATGATATCTTGATGGTAGGCCCAACTATCCAAGATGAGTTATACTCCACACTGCTCCGCTTCCGGCTGCACAGGTTTGCTCTGACAGCCGATGTTAAAAAAATGTATCGCCAAGTAATGGTAAATGAAGCGGATAGGCCATTTCAACTCATAGTGTGGAGAAGAGACCCCTCAGAATCCTTGAGATTATACCAGCTCAACACCGTAACATATGGAACTGGTCCAGCTCCATATCTAGCGATTCGGTGTTTAAAAAGGTTGAGTGAATCTGCCAAACTTTCATTCCCTAGAGCTGCTGAAGTGATTGGATCCGACTTTTACGTCGATGATATGCTAACTGGTGCTGCATGCGTCGAGGAGCTCAGATCTATTAGAACTGAAGTGTCTCAGGTTCTTCAAACCGCCGGGTTTGAATTGACAAAGTGGTTTTCGAACTCACCTGAGGTCACCGCATCTGAGAGCACAGTTAAATCCATACCGATCTCGGATTCAGAGTCGACGAAGGCGTTAGGCATATCGTGGTTGCCTAACGAAGATTCTTTCAAGTTTGAAATTGACAATTCCGTCATGGGTCTCAGAGCGACAAAGCGGAACATACTATCGGTGACATCGAAGCTGTTCGACCCCCTCGGCTTGCTTAGTCCTATCGTAATCAGAGGAAAAATCCTATTGCAGGAACTCTGGCTGAACAAGTTGGATTGGGATGAGTCGATTCCTGTGCATTTGGAAACTGCGTGGAATAAATTGAAGAATACATTGTCTCGGTTGGAAGAGATAACAATTCCGCGGTATGTGCACACCGATCCGATGTCACCGGTTCAATTGCATGCCTTTGCCGACGCAGAGCTTATGGAGCTTGCGTCTATATTCGTAGCAAAACTGCAGAAGGTATTAAACTGTCATTACTGACGTCAAAATCTAAAGTAGCGCCGCTCAAGACTAAAACGCTCCCAAGGCTTGAGTTATGTGCCGCTCACCTTCTCGCAGATCTCTGTCACAGAATCAAACCCCTATTAAAGGTCCCTATCGAACGGATAGTATATTGGTCAGACTCGGAAGTTACGTTGCATTGGATTCGATCCCATCCGTCTTCTTTGTCGATATTCGTCTCGAATAGGGTAGCGGAGATTCAGGAGTGGTCAGGAGAAGCTACGTGGCGGCATGTCCCAACTAACCAGAACCCAGCAGATATTGTATCAAGAGGTTGTGACATAGAGGAAATTAGCGATTCAATCTGGTTTACTGGACCATCCTTTTTGAAGAATGGAGAAGAGACCTGGCCCAAAAATTCACATTTCGTTCTTGATGAAAAGGTCCTAATTGAAGAATCAAGGAAGACTGTGGTAACGATGGCCGCCACGGTACGGAAGTCGGAACTGGTGGATGTCATCGAGGGATTTTCGTCACACCTCAAGCTGCTTAGGGTGTTCGGTTACATGTTCCGCTTTATAAGGAAATGCAGAGACAAGAGTATAGTTTTTGAAAAAACTCTGTCTCCGAATGAGTACAACGAAGCCTTCTTAAAAATTGTCGAGACCATCCAGAAACACGAGTATCACGAAGTTCTTGAAAAAGTTCGGAAGAACTCCAGAGTTGGCCCAAGTCTTCAACGATTGAACCCATTCATTCATGAAGACTCAGGCACTTGGTGTAATTTTTCGTTGTTGCGAGTTGGGGGGCGATTAGCAAATGCTCCTATAACGTACGATGCCAAGTTTCCACTGCTGTTGACAAAATGCTCCCAATTTGTGCAGAGCTATGTCCGGCATTTGCATCTAACCAATTTTCATGTCGGGCCACGAGCACTTGTGAGTCTCCTTCGACAGCGTATTTGGATCGTAAACGCTCAGGAGGTCTGCAGTCAAATAGTTCGATCATGTATTCGCTGCTTTAAATGCAAGCCTCGACTAATGACGCAAATTATGGGAAATTTACCCGCAGATCGTCTCCGTGCTCTCCGCCCATTTAGTATCTGTGGCGTTGATTTTTGTGGCCCCGTCTATACGACATTGAAAATTCGTGGAAGGCCTCCTTATAAGTCCTACATAGCGCTTTTTGTTTGTTTTGCGTCCAAAGCGGTTCATCTAGAAATTGTTTCAGATTTAACCACTAACTCCTTTTTATTGGCTTTCCAAAGGTTCGTTGGGCGCCGAGGATGCCCTCGCACAGTCCACTGCGACAACGCGACGAACTTCGTCGGAGCCAGTCGCCACTTCCAGGGCCTTCGGAAGCGCATCGAGGAGGAAGCAGACGCCATACGCGAATTCGCGTCAAGAAGCGGATGCGAGTTTGCATTCACACCGCCTCGGGCTCCGCACATGGGCGGGCTTTGGGAGGCAGGTGTGAAAACTGCAAAGCACCTACTCCTACGAGCGGTGGGCAGCGCGCTCCTAACCGCAGAAGAGCTGGAGACGGTGCTCGTCGGGATCGAGGCGGCGATGAACTCCCGGCCGCTAGGCGCGCTATCCAACGATCCCAGCGACGGAGAAGCGCTAACACCAGGGCACCTGCTGACAGGCGGGCCGCTATTCCCCATCCCAGCACTCCGGACCCCGGACCAGGCGGGTCTCAGTTGCTTGCGGCGATGGCAACTTGTCTCGTCAGCCAGGCAAATGTTCTGGCGGCGATGGTCCCTGGATTATGTGCTGGGCCTGCAAGTTCGGGGCAAGTGGCACCAGGAGCAGCCCAACATCCAGGAAGGACAACTGGTCGTCGTCGCCGAGGACAACCTGCCGCCTCAACAATGGCTGATAGGGAGGATCATCGCCACTCACGCAGGAGAGGACGGCATGGTCAGGGTCGTCGAAGTGAGGACCAGCGGAGGAGGGATTTTTAAGCGGGCCATCCATAAATTGGCGCCGCTTCCAATATGTTGAAGCCGGACGGGCCTTCAACGGGGCCGGTGTTGGCTGAAGCCAGTTTTTCGTTTTTTTATTTTTTTGAATTGTTAGAATAAGTATCGTTGAATTTGAAGTTTACTGTAAGTTAGTTTAGGGCGAAGGCGGGAGCGCAATAAAGCTTTTGTTCGCTCTCTGCGAGTTCGCTCCGTCTTCGCCAACCTTCGGTAAGCTAGGCTTAAGTATGATTGTGGAGAATAGATCATTCGTTGAAATTGAGTTCGATCGAGCGCACGCATTATTTTTCGTTTCGTTGTCGTTTTGCCAATAAATTTATTAATTAGCCACCCAAGTTTCGGTTTTTAATAATTAGAAAAACGCTTCTAATTTTTCAAACTGTATGACACTTAGATTTCATTTTTTAAAGTCAAACAATTATGTTTTAAAGTTATGTTTAAAACATTGAATTGTAACAAATTATATTATTATTAATACATAGGTGTACCTTTATTGAATTAAAAACATAAATAGGCTTCATAAAGGATTTTTACTTTTTAAATAATAAAAGTAAATGACATTTTAACCAACAGCTTAAGTCAGCTTAAAAATCTTCAAAGTGTCTGAAGACGTTAGAATTTCTTAAGGGGGGTAAAATCACTCGTCTGTTGGCTAATTGAAAACCTTAAATTCCCACTTTCTGACTCAGCGCTGTTTACCTCGAGTCAGGTACATTGAATTGTGATTTTTATTGTTATTTTTTTGGCTTAACCCGCCTAACCTTGCACCCTCAAGGTGTTTTGTCTTTGTTGGCAAAAAGTTTTCCCCAAAAAAGAACACACAATTTAGCAGGGAACTTGTTCGTGTTGTTTGCCGGTTATCTGGTTTATTGGAATGGGCACTCGCTTTTGTGGTCGGTTTGTTACAAGCTTATCCTGTCTTGTTTACCTTTGTTGAACTGACCCAGAAACACATAAATTTCGGACCGGCAAAGAAAGTTTTTTAATGAAATTTAAATTGTTCTCAAATTGTATTTACATGATTTTATAACAGAAAATTCCTTAGGGATACATATATGTACAGCATATTATTTGTACAGATAAATGAAGTTTTAAAAGCATTTTAGTGAATTCCAGCGCTTATTAAAATATGCCACGTTGGTAAATTTTAATTATTGGTAAAGTTAAATAAACCAATCAACTTAAAGATTTCCCCAAACGGTGTCAAGATTGTAAAGTGTTTTGGGAAACTCCCCGATTATCTGCGGTAAAGCACTTTATGTGAACTTGATGCTGTTTGCTTAGCCTCAAATGAGGCACACAAACCTTGGCTGCCGTGTCAGCTAAACGGATTTTCGTTGCCTGTTTTGGCGTCGCATTACACGGCCTAACACATGAATTTCCTCGGGCTTCCTTCTTTCACTTTGTTGTCATACCAATATATGGTGGAAAATCGGTGTGCCCGGAGAGAATTCCAACGAAATGCGAAACGGATGTGAGTTATGTGGGGAAGCAAATCATTTCCCACCAGCAATTGACTAAAATTGTTTGCCATATAACGTTAACTTCCGATCAAATGAAGTCCCAAGGGATTGACTGGGAAAGCCTCGCCAACATTTTTAGCTTTAATTACCCAACAAGTGGGGATTCAGATAAAGCCCTCGAAGGCATTTTTCTCACGTTCTCACATCGAACTCAAAGCCAAGGGGCAGCACTTATTTTTATGGGGCTTAGAGCCCTTTCTGAGTGGACTACTTATCCCCTAGCTGATTCAATGAGCTCAAATCTTTGCCTGGATCTTTCATTGCTGATTTCTTAAGCAGATAATGAGTGGGCGCCCAGTTATTCCGCTGGCCATGGCCAGGAAAACTTTATAATTTCATCAAATTCACAACCGAAATTGTGTGCGTAATTTTATTATTTTGAAAGCACTTCAGCGAACTTTATCTAAACATGTAGAAATCAGCACCCCCTCCACGTTGCCTCAATTTTGAGGCTTTGGCCCAAAAAGTTGTTTCAAACAGCAATTAAAATAAATTACATTTTGCGATTTTAATTGCGTCTAATTGCAGGTAAAAGCCGGCAAATAAGTTTAAGCACAAAACTTAAGGGTGGTGGCGTCCATTTTGGAGGAGGTCTGCTGCCACGAGGGAAGGGGGCGTGGCAGAATTAATTTCCACAGTTGTCAGTTGTTATGAGCTGCCACGACCCAGCAACAACAAACTTTTCTCAATGGCACTCACAAATGGACAGTGCAACAATATTTGGAGAACGGCAGACTGAGTGGGAGACAGACCAACAACATAGAGTTATAAAATGACAATCTAAAATGAATGACAATCAGCGTCCACGCTGCGTATACGTAATTGTCAACATAAAACTTTTATGAGTGACAATTTTGAAATGGTTTTCGGTTGGCTATTGGGAAAGAGGTTGACAACAGGGGTCGGGTTCCCATACAATTCATAACAATGTGCATAAATGATAATGAGAAGTGGTTTTGGATGAGGAGTAGATGACTGGAGTGCAGTTAAAATTGAGATTTTAAACAGAAAATCGGTATATCTGCATATGGATAATTGGATATGAAGACCAAATATTGAAAAACTATTCCAATTAAAACGAAAAATGCTCACATCATTTATTTGTTATTTGAAAGTTCAAGACCAACTATGTTATACATATATTTTTTAAATTCAAAAATAAAATAAAATTATATTTTATAAATTTATATTTATCATTTCTAGACTTAAAAACACAACATTCTATCTTAAGTCAAGTCCTCTTACCATTCCTATGTTTAAGTTTCTGGTAATATTGGGTGCTTATAGTACACATTTGAGCTTTATAATAAAGTTAATGCCTTGAATTATCCTCTAGTAAGTTAAACACTTAAAAAGTGGGTTTTATACATTCAAATTGTGTGATTTTATGATTAAGCATATGTGTAAAGCAGGTCCGGAGATTATGTCAAGCGGTCTTGGCCATAAGTCACCCAAAAGCGTCCCACTTTTGCAGACGTGTATCCTGAATCCTGCCGGCTGTCATCATTAGTTTACTTTGCCCGACACTCGTGTGTCAGAAATGCTGGCAAAATGCTCTTCAGGTGGCTGCTCTTCAATGTGCAAAGTGCCAGAAAGATTGAAGATGCATAGCCTATCTACGCAGGTTTCGAGAAATGGTCCCTTTTAAAGAGTTAAAAATGTATTAGAAAAGTGGTGAGCTAGAGAAAAAAACTTTATATAAATTTTATTTCTCCCTCAAGCGACACTAGATATGCACCACAAATTATATTTTTCTGAGTGCTACCTTTAAAACAGTGCGTAAGTCCATTATATTAAATGTCAGAAAAATAGCCTGAAATTTAAAAAAAATACGAAAATATATATTTCTCTCGTTTATTACACTTGGCAAGCTTTGTGTGCATATTGCATATTGCAATAGCAGTTTGAGTCACGTTCAGCTCGTTTATGAGTTTGATAGGAAGCATTTTTATTTTAGTTTTCTGAACAACCTGGGGCTGTCAAAAATCGTAACTTAAATTGTCCAGTGAACGCAGCATTAGAGTAAAACCAGTGGAAATTAAAAAATTGGAAAAACATTTACCAAAAGGCAGAAAAATCTAGTGAAAGACGCTGGGATCCGAATAAAATTTGCTACCTTAACCCATCCAACCCACCATTAGCCTGCCGGCTGCTTAGCTCATCGTGTTTTCCAGAGCCGTGCACAAGTTACTCGGGGAAAAGCGTCGTGGAAAACATGAAAAAATTCAGTAGAAAAAGCACACTTAAATTTACATCATTTCCAGTCCACATCACTGACGTTGATGCAGCTCGCTTCTGGCTTTTGGCCTTTTGAAATTGGCCCAGCCAGGTGAAAGTTTCTGCCGTGTTTCCCTCGTATTTATTAGTTTAAAGGAGCAGCTGCTATCTGTGGGTGGCAACAATGGCGCAACTAAAGCTATAATTGTTTCAAATTGAAATCTATTTTCATAGACCGCTGGCTCGGGAACTCGGGGAATTGTGTCAAGTGCAGCCGGAGTTAAAGTGGTCCAGACCACGCCTTCGTGAGCAGTCAAGAGTTAAAAGGGGCATCGCCAGGATAACAACATTTGCATGCAAATGGCGACTGGCGAATGCTGGAGTTACTTTGCCAATGTCAAACGTAGAACAACGGCGAATACGTGCCCATGGCTTGGCAAATGAACTTGTTTGGTAGCTAATGAGATAAGCATGCAAATGCCACTGGCAGAGCTACAAAAAAAAAAGGTTAAGAATAATAGAAGGCCAGCAAGGCAGACGGCTGAATAAAGTCTAGTTGTGTCAGTGGCAGAAACAGGACGAGTCAATTAAGTGGCATTTCTGCTGCGACTTGTTGGGGGACAGAAAAAATAAAGGGTAAACTCTAGAAAAAATTAGCTCATTACGAACTAAATAAACAAATCAAGATAGAATCTCAAGTTGAATGGGGAAAAAGAAGTTGAAATGAATCTCCTTTGAATTGATATCAACAAAACGGAGCACGGAAATGCGCAACTAAAGAAAACACTTTTGCATGAGTTTTATTTATGAAATAGAATAGCTGAAAAGTCTTCCTTATTTGTAAATAATTTTCAAAGTTTAATTTAGTTTTGCTCTAGATTTTATCAAGAAATCTTCAACAAATAGCCTTATTTATAAAATAACTTCATGCGAACTTCACTTTGCATGTTTTGAGCACATAATCATAACTTAAATCACCGCACACACTCGTTGACATTTCACTGATATCATTATAAACCAAAATTATGTTTTGCTAATGCATTGCTAGCCACAAAGCCACCGCCCCCGTAAATTGTCAACAAGTTTTATGGCCTACTCAAATTTAATTGCTCTTAGCACGCACATCACACTTTCTCCATGTCTTTAACTCATGAATTCAACTAGAGGTTTTTAGGAATTCGTGAAAGATGTTGTTTGCTATTTGCTCAAGGATTGTATTGCAAAGTGGCTGGCACACATTGCGTATGCGTAATCTAGCAGTTTTTTTTCAACCTCTGCAGAGAAACATGTAAATACATTTTGTTGAGTTTTTTCCCCAACCTCTTGGGTTTTTTGCCTGCTGCTTTTTATGACAAGCAAATACATGCGAATCTAGAATTTTACAAACGATAAACGCCTTGAGGCAAGCTGCTGCTCCTGAGTCTCCTGCCACACAATTGATGCCGTTTTATGGTAAATGTGTGCTAAAAATGTGCGAGGGACAAATCCTACTAATGCCCCAATGCGTATGCGTACGCATTTGAAGCTCATTTTTCTTTCTGCCGTTAAGTCCTGCACAAATCAAATGAAAAAAAAATGGAAGGAGCAAAACCTTTCAACGGAAAACGTACGGGTGTATGCAAAAAAGTATTGTAACCTTGTGATGTCCATTATCCACAAACAAAATACAGGCCAAATAAAATGGGAGCTTGCGAGGAACCCCAAAACAAAAACCCAGTTCGGATTCATGTCAATTCCAATTACAAGACGGCATAAAAGACCCTTACTGCACAGTGAACTTATCTAATGCTTAACCACAAGACGTGTTTCACCTCCCCCGTGCCCCGAAGACGAATCTATGCACATTATATTTACTACAACATTGAGCGACAAATAAAAAAGAAATACGGAAACATCTGTTGTCCTTCAAGGAGCTGGGAGTAAGATCTGATATACAGTTGTGTGCCAAAAATCAGCAACAAATTAATTGGCCAATGATTTTGCTGTGATTTCAAAAATAAAATAAATAATCCTTTCTCTAGTTACTAACATTTTTAAAAATAAATCAAAAAATTTTTTTTAATTTTATGTTTTGAATTTTGAAAAACGCATGTATGCTTTGGATTTAAAAAAGTTCCAGTTTTCATTTTATGCTTCATATGCTTAATATTTTTAAACATTAAAGTTTTCGTAAATAATCTAAACGTCTTTAGCAATTTTAGTGGTTTCTTATCAATTAATATCTTGACCACAACTGTAGTTACTGTTGGATAAGAAATTTGCTCCCCAAGGAACAAGATACTGGCAACCAAGCAACAGCTGCATTTGAAATGAAAAGCATTTGTTTCTGACACAACTCGTCTTCGCCTCTGGTTGCTGGGTTAGTTTATCCTGGCAAAGGCTTGGTCCATCGGGAGAACTCGCCTGAATGCGCTCACTCATTATGTTGATTATCCCAAGCGTCCCACGATCTCAAGGATTTCCGCAGGAATATGAATTGAAATAAATGCGCTTACGGCTTGCTTCTAGTCTGTCCGAAAGATTTCATTAGAAATGTAATAAATATTTTCTGGCAGAAAACAGGGACCAAAACCAAGAAAAAAAAAAAATATGGGAGTGTAGGGAGCCGCACCATTAACCCTTCTTTGCGGTGGCTTAACACAAACACATGAAATGTTGTACAATTTTTTTGCTGGTGACCTTACCATCCAGTGGGATTTATGGCCTTTCCCCTTTCGGGTCATCTAATGCCATTTCATATGGCCAACGTATCCCGCTTTCCGACGGTTTCTCTGGATTTTCCCCAACATTTCTGTGGCAATTGATGAGCCACAAAGCCAACAAGCATGAAATGAAGTCCGGCTCCTCTTTCATTCCCCACTCCCCCCAACTCCCATTACCATTCCCCAATTCATTTTGTGGTTAATGTGATAAATCAATTTTATGCGAAAATCACAGAGCATAAATTTATTTAACTAGCCCATAAGTCATGGCCTTAGTTTGGTCGAGTATCTGAACTTGTCTGCCCGCTTTTGCCAAAGGTTTATCAATTAGTTTGGGGGCATAGATTTAAGTAAGATGTAATGGAATGGGTCTTGATTAGGTTGAGATAATAAAATTAAGCTGTGGTTGCCAGCTTACACAATAATGGAAATCTTAGATGGAGACTTAAATAATTTGTTAAATAAATCAGAACGGGTTTGTTAAGGGTTGCAAGATTAATTTAAAACGCACATTCGAAAACTTACCATAAAAATACCACATACAATTTAAATTAAATGCATTTGAAAAAATGCTTGCTTTTCCGCATCCCTTTGATTTATTTTTTAAATCGAAAAAGAATAATATCAGGCATGGTACTGTATGACCATCAAAGCAAACTCTTTTTCGCTCAAATAATATATGAGTGAGGTAAAAGGGTGAAGAGGGCGGACCACGGGTCGTATGCTTAATGAGCATTTAAAATTCATTTAGACTTTTCACCTTTTATCTTTGTGTGCACAATGAATAAAATTAAAATAATCCGCGGCCAGTCGGCGTCGCCCGGGTCTTGATAATATTTTTTTCGCTCTGCCCGCTTTTCCATTTCCCCGTTTTCGCACCACCTCCAACCGTCTTAATTTGAATAACTGAATTGTTAAGTGGACTGTCTGAATGATGGACTTGAATAGATAAGACAGGGCACGGTAGCTTCCGACCTTTTAATTAAATTTAATTGCAAATGCCGAGCCAAAGTCACCGAAGATGACTTTTGATGAGGTCCGGAAAAACTCCGCAATCGACAGGAGTTAAAGGCGTTTAGTGGCAGTGTGTTATTACCACAGTTGAGTGGCGCCCAAAAGCGGCACTTTCGTCTAATGCATTAATTTATCACGCTCGCTTGGGCTCACTCGCTCCCGGGAGACAGAGCGGAAAATCCAGGTGCCAGAGACAAGCGGCCACGTAACCAAGGCCAGAAAGAAGCTTTTGCATTTCAATGAAAGCATTTGTAAAATATTACTGCATACTCGGGGGGCTCTGGGCTCTTCGGTTCGGTTTGGTTCGCATATGGCTGGCAAACAGACAGAACTCCGGAGTACCCACATTTGTGTCGCACTCCAGTCACGTTTGCCAACTGGCAAAAGCTTCAACAAATGTTAAGCTCAAGATTTATTGAGCTACTTAAGTTGCTGTTGATGATGTTCTCTGCCTTTGCCGGCTACTCAGGAACACCCCCGCGTTGCAGAGAAAAGGTTAACAGTCAGCCTTGGTCTAAATATATATGTTTATATATAAGTCCTGCATGGCATTGAGCTCCCACATACGAGGGGGACATAAAATATCCATATTTCCATTGAGGAGTATTTTTATAAAGTCTCGTAAACATCGAGAATCACACGTTGCAGCAGCAAGCTTTCAAAGTCCTGTTTAATGAGTTTGCAACAACATTAATTCCTGTTCTAAAAACTCTACAGATATGCTTGTTATACTCAGAAAAGTTAAAAGTATTGAAGTATGGTATACAGTTTAATATTTTATTTTACATAAATAATATATCAAAGACCATTTTAAGAAAACTTAAAACGTTTTTTGGTAAGCAGAAAGATCTTTATCAAGGACTAACTATTATTTATAAGCAACAAAACCTATATATTTATTTTTTTTCTTTGTGTAAAACTGCACCTTTTCTACCTTCAAAGCATAAATGTTTATATGGCAGCAAAACGTTCTGGCCATAAATAATGCCTTCGAGCTGTGCAAGCACATAAAAATGTATAAAACGAACATCAAGAAGTTGCGTGCCAAACATTTCAAAATGAACTCCAGGTAATTTTTCAGCCAATGCAGGTAAGGCAGTCAGTTCCAGCTAATGGCCAGTTTTTAGAGTTTATCTGTCTAATGTGTTTTTTATGCAAATCTGGCAAAAATATTGCTTATCAGTGGATGTCTGCTCGCCAGAAAATAAGAAAACATTTTAGATAAACCACAGGGCGTTTGAGCTGCATATGCTTACAGATTGTTTCATCTTCTCTGCGCCACACAACATTTCCCATTTCACCTGATCTATTTGTTTTTTGAGATTATTTTTCGAACAATTTTACAATTCAATTGAATTGCTACAAACTGTCCAGAAATATTTTGCATGCTGGAAAAATGTGGATACATTTTTTGTCGGGGTCCTTGGGATTGCCTGGGGCAAATTTGAATTGTCAAAATTGTAACGAGTTTTTCGGTGTCTTTCCCATTCTAGTGGCCATTTTCAACCCGTTTCGCTGACATAAACTGCATTGAAATGTCATAAAAATTGAAACACGTTCTCCGTTGTGTTCGCTGTTCGCTGCTCCTAGAAT